TGAAAAAAAAATAGAATGTGTCATAGATTGTGACATCATAAGGTGTTCTAGAATTTTGATGATGTCACACTCTGACACATCAAAGGCAAAATAAAAAAGAGGGTATTTGAGAGCAGCACAGTTTTGAGCAAGGCTGAAAGGACACCATCGAGAGCTCGCCCCGTCAAGCTTCCTGTTGTAAGTTGGCTGAAATTTGTGATATTTTGAAAACTGATTTACTTACTTTAGCTTAAAAGAATTGAACTGTAGACTTTAAAACATGTCAGATATTTATCGGTAAATTAATGTTTCTTTGCATGATCTAACTTAAATGTTTTTGCACACAAACAGAAAAGAAAGGCAGACTTTTCACCTGAGCTTGAAATGAGCCCAAAGAGAAGTCGCCTTTCCACCCATCAGGCAGGTAAACAAAAACAAGGCGGGCATACAGGACCAAAGGGGAAAGAGAAGCTCAAAACTATCCCCGAAACAGAAGAGGAAGAGGCTGGTAGTTCCAATATCAGCAACAACACTTTGACAGAAGAGCAAGACCTTTCACAGCCCAAGTGTTTTGGGTAAGTATCTGAGTAGATATGCAGTACATAAACCAAAGAGTAAAACCACACAATGAATTCCTGAGACGATTGCTGAATAAATCATACTAACTTGTTCAACTTGTTTCCGTCAGATTCCCAAATATTGGACAAACCTGCTACATGAACGCAAGCCTGCAGAGCCTTTTGACACTGGAGAACTTTGTGGATGATATCATCAAACAGGCAAATGTGTGGAGAGTCCACCCTGATGCAGCAGTTGTGAGGTATGGCACCCAACTGAGACAACCTTATTTTTTTTCCCAAAAATCAAATGCAGAAAATGTTAGAATTTAAATTTGAAAAAAAAAAAAAAAAATAAAAAATCTTTAACACTGTTCTCTGGTTTTCAGATATTTAATCAGACTTAAAGAAAAGCACTCCTCCAAGGACATGACATTAAAAGCTTTGCTGCTTTGTGATTTGAAGGAGGTCGTATCTATTGGCGCACCAGAATTTGCAGACAACAGGCAGAAGGTAAGTTAGTCTAATGTTTCACCTCCCTCTCCTGATATTTTCCTCTCAGTGTATTGAATTTCTTTTTTTTGAAGTTCCTGTGAGGAACTTTTGGTTTGTGTCAATTTTGGCACCCCCTGTGGCAGATAACCAAAACAGTCTTTGCTTATTATGTCTTCAATGTCATCTGTGTTTGTATCTGCAGGACGCACACGAGTTCCTATCTTCACTTCTGGACCAAATCATGAGTTTAAGTCCACAGCTGCAAAAAGAGGCTGCCAGAAAGGGGACAACCTACAGATGTCCCGTCAAAGAACACTTGTCGTTCATGATGGAGAACACAAGGACATGCAAAAGGTATGACTTCACTGAAATGTATTTGCATGTGTATGTTTGATATCATACAAGGATCACTACACTCTTAAAACACGAAAATGCTGATTTGCTAATCTTCATTAGATCATCACATAGAACTGAAATGCTAAGCCCTTAGAGGTGGGTTTGTCACAAACTTGTGCAGCTTTACTTAAACTGGATTGTCCTTTTTATATGCAGATGTGGAGTAGAATCGAAGAAACAGGAGGAATACACCAGCTTGACTCTCGACCTGATACCTGGAGGAGGAACAGTGGAAGACATGCTCCAGAATCATCTTCAGGTAACCACACCTCTCTCTATGAATTTCACAGCACAACAAAAAGATGCAGGACAATATGATTTGATGTTAAAATACCACCATATTTGATTCCCCCCACAACTGTTTATGTCAGTGTGTATTCAGTTGTTAATCCAGAACAAATTAAAACCATGTTGGTCTTTTGGTGTTTTACAGGAAACTGAGCTGGAGTATTGGTGTGAATGTGGAGGACTCGTGTCGGGCGAGCGCTTATCGTTTCAAACCCTACCAAGGTAAGTAACGTCTTCGCCAACACAAATAAGCAGACAACTGATTTATATTGCAAAGTAATACACATCCACAACAACAACTCTTGCACATGACCTAATGCATCTGTCATTTTTCTTATTTCAGAGTGCTGATCCTGCACCTGAACCGTGTCACGTACACACCAGACAACCAGCCGCAGAAAGTGACTGATCCAGTGGATATCTTCAGGGACCTCATTATTTCGTCTCAAGAGGTAAGTAGACACTAAATTTGATAAAAGACATTTGATAAAAAAAGAAAAAAAGATTATCTCTAATAGACATAATGTGTGAACTGTGGGCACTAACTCTATTTACTCTTTTTACTCTCTCAGAATGGTCAATACTACAGCCTTGTCAGCACAATTAATCATCTGGGCACACAAGCAGAATCAGGTAAGATAATCGGTTTCCTTTCGATCACATTACATTTTACACACAAAAAAATGTCACAGTTAAAAAAAGCTTACAATTATGTTCTAATGCATTACTTATGTGAACATTATGAATTATATGGCCGTATGTGGTTACAGACACAGCCCAGTCTTTTAACATTATTACTCTTTCATCTATAAGGACACTACATCTCAGAGGGAATGGATTTGGATGTGCCAGTAAATGACCCGTTGGATCGTTGGTTCACTTACGACGACGAGACGGTCATGGAAACCAGCGGTGCCGACGTATGTAAGAATCAACGTCAAAATGCCTACATCCTTATCTACAAAAGACTGGTAAGTACATGGCCCCATCACACTGAGGTACACCATGGTGAAAGAAAATTGTGATGTAGAAAAAGACATTGATGATCTCATCATCAATGTCTAATCATTATTGATCAGAGTGGGCAAGAGGACTCCTATTCTTATCTTTTATTTTGTTCAAGATATGGTCAAGTACAGCTTCCTGAAAACAACTTCCTTTATAGTATTTACATTAACTAACTACATTTGTTTTATTCACAGGATTAAGGGGCAGGTAGTCCAAAGAAACTCCCCATAGAAGCAAGAGGCCTCAGGTAAGTATGGTAAGGTAAGGAAAGGTAGGTATAAAGGCAAGGGCCAAGGACCAAGGAGAAGGACGTCCAGTGGTGCAGGAGCAGGTAACCCCTGACCCACTGGAGGATGGGTTTTTACCCCAGAGAGCCTGGTTTCTCCCAAGGTTTCTTCCTCCTAGAGGGAGTTTTTCCTTGCCACAGTTGCCCCAAAACAAAAGTCACCGAGATTATTAGCAGTGACTCATTTAAATTGGACTTAATCCATGATTCAGATTTATAAACAAGCTGTCCAGATTAGAGTTTGGATGATTGTGGCTTACTCTCTGAGTTAGTTAACTGAAAACAAACTCACATTAGGAACCACTGCACTATTGACTATTTAATTAGGAGTAAAAAAAAAAAAAAAAAGAATTTTTTTTCAGTAAATTTTTTCAGGTTGTTAATTGCATACTTTACTTATCATCAACAGCAGATGCTCCAGCATGGATAAAGGACCTCTTGTCTTCCCGTACTTGGCATTATTAGCTGAGGTCGTCGAACAGTGCATGTTGGGTGGGGGACACAACTTTTGTGTTTGCACGGGTTTACTCCGGGTGCTCCGGTTTCCTCCCACATCCCAACAACCCAAAAAAAAAAAAAAAAAAAAAAACACGGCCTCACTACAAAATAAAAATTAATCAAATATAAATTTCTTCTTTACAATGGTTTTCTCTCTTTATAATTAGTTATTGTTACACCGGTTTAAGCATCCCTACCTGGCTATCTAGCATACTGCAGTCCTGTATTTTTATCTAAAACCTGCAAAACCATCATGTTGGCAATAATACAACCCATCTGAATTGTTTGCATTAGGGACCTCCCTAACTTAAAGACCTCGACAGATAGGACCTCTTGTCTCATACTTGGTGTTATTTGCTCAGGACGTCCAGAAAAAAATTAAACAAAAAACGCCAAACTACAAAGTTAAAAAAAGGCCAGATAACAAAATAAAAATTAATCGAACATAAATTTCTTCCTAATAATGGTTTTTCTCTCTTTGTAGTTAGTTATTGTTATCCTGGTTGAAGTTTTCATGTTTCTGTGAAGTCAAGTTTTGACAAGGTATCATAAATAAGCTGATGAACAGCTCCGTTTACAAATGGGTGAAAATGAAATAAAGATAAAAATTACTTGGTGTTATTTGCTCAGGACATCCAGGGGTGCAGGAGGTTGTGTCCAAACCCCTTACAAAAAAAAAAGAAATGGCCGAACTACAAAATTAAAAAAGGCTAAACTACAAAATAAAAATTTATCAAACATTGATTTCTTCTTAACAATGGTTTTCTCTCTCGATCGTTATTGTTACACTGATTTAAGTGTTCATGTGTCTGGGAAGTGACGTTTTAACAAGGTTTTTTATATACGCTGATGAACAGCTCAGTTGACAAATAGCTATCTAGCATACTGCAGTCCTGCATGTTTATCTAAAACCTGCAAAACCATTATGTGGGCAATAAAACAACTTGTCTGAATTATTTGCATCAGGGACCTCCTTAACTTAAAGGCCTCGACAGATAGGACCTCTTGTCTCATACTTGGTGTTATTTGCTCTGAACCCTCCCCCTTGTCTTTTATAAAAAGTAACATTTTAAATGATAAATGTTAAAAAATATAGATATTTATACTGGTTCAAACAGAGATAAACACTAAGCTTTTCTGTAAGCCTGTTCTGACAAATGACCATATTTGGAACACTAACACCACCTGCTGGAAGCTGAGCACAGGTGCAACATATTTTGTTTGCTGTGGGTATGCAGATGTGCAATAATTTGGGTCAGACAACAATGGTGGACTCCAAAATAGTCATAATATGTTCACATTCCTAAATCACAGTGATTCGGTAGATGAATGTTTGACTGGATAATAATAAAAAAAAAAAAAAATCCGGGATGGATAATCCAACCTCCAAATCCCTGCCTTAACCTCAGAGCTGGACTTTATGTAACAGAATGAAAACACATCTTTGAAAAGTCTTGATATGAAGCCTTCTGGCCACTAGATGGAGAAGTACTGCAAAAGTCAATCAAGAAGAATGGCCCTTTTCTCTTCAAGTAGCAGGACTGGATGTGATCCCAATTTCAGGCAGCACGTACACGGCTCCTCTGCAGCCCTGAAGCAGACAGCCTGGTTCCTTGGACGTCATATGATAACGCTGGAGGAGAGCCAGAGAAGGACCTGTATCTCAGTCACCGCGCACAGCTAGGGCCCCCTTTATCTTTGCCAGGCAGGGAGGCGTATCCTTTCCCCCCACACACTCCCACTCCCCTTCACATACCACTCTGACTCCCTCTCTCTCTCTCACCAAAATCTACTCTACAACCTGCTTCAGACGACGCCCCATCGCCCATGAGATTCTCACTAACACACGTCGTTTTCGCTCGAGAGGAAGCCATTTCTCCCTCTTTATTGTCGGGCTGTGCGCTCGTCACGGCATCACCTCGACAATAACAGAAGGGGTGCCGGCCAGGAGAAGAAGGAGAAGAAGAAGAAGAGGAGGAGGAGGAGGGAGAGGAGGAGGGAGAGAAAGGGGTGTTAGAGTATTGCGAATTGACGTGCAGAAATAAACAAGGAGACACCCCTGTTTGGAAGACGTCCGTGGCGGGAAGCGACAGGGATCTGCAAGTGAGTAAGTCGTGATTCAAAGTGGGCTCGCGCTCATGTTTTCTTTGATCTGACCTGTTTTTGCGATTTTCCAGCGGCGCATTTTTTTAAAGCACCCAGCCTTGGTAGCATCCTCTGCGCCTGACAGGAGGTATGACAGAGCGGGACGGAGGGATAGAGACATAGAAACATGAGAAAAATATCGCCTTTAAATGTCTTAATGGTGATATCATCTCTGTTGTCATGAGCATTGCTTTAGTAGAAGAGGCGCAGCGTCCTTACTGGCGCATAAATCACAATAACACGCTGACATCAAAGTCAGGTGCAGGTTTTAGGATGCATTAAAGGCAAAAATAGCTGCATTGTTATGTCATGTCAACATCCCGTTTTAAATGCCCGGAGGCCTAATCACTATACTGTACTTTGATGCTATGATACAGTCGAGCAGACAGGTGTAGCAGGACGACGTGTTTTACGCAAATGACTTTGATGAGGCATCATGTTTTATCGACCTGTTAAGCAAGGAGAGTGTTTCATGGTGGCTTCGCATTGGCGCCAACCGTGCATGGCCGTCGCTCGCTGGGTGAGAGATGCTGACAGGCTGCGCAGGCTTTGGAGGAGAGTAACAGGGTATTCTGTGTGTTGTGATGTGAGCAGTCTGCTCCAACATGGCGCGCATAAGCTGAAAAAGCCATGGCCATTACATACTGCTGTCTGGAATCCACATTGTGTGCTCTGGGCCACTGGACTGGTAGTGAGGGTTTAGGATACCACAGAATGAGGCTGTGCATCCCTGACTCTAATGAATGTCAGCTCAGGTTGCTAATGGTGATGGAGCCTGGCTGCTCTGTGCTGTCAGAATATCACGTAGGCTCCTGTGTGTGTGTGTGTGTGTGTGTGTGTGTACACTCTGTTTTCTGTGTCTATTCCTGTCTTTGAATAGGACCAACAACTCCTAGTTTTACTCTGTTTTTGTGATTATGTTTGATCCCAGCAGGTAGGGACACAACCAGACAAAGAGTGTGTTTTTGTTTGGTCTTTGTCCATTGTTTCTCTTGCTGTTGTGGACAATATCTCTGTTGTAAAGGCCACCAAGTTCCCGATGATAGTGTAGAGTCTGTGAACACAATACGCCCAATGAGTCCTGGAAGTTAAGACAGGACATCAGCCCTTTGTCTTATTGGTCGACATAGCTGCAGAGACACCTGTTTGATTCTTGGAAACGCTGGGGAACTGAGAGCTGTGGAAGCAACCCACTGTGTTTACATGTTGCGTCAACCAGAGCTGTAGCTATGGCTTGACTGGTTTGTATTGTCCATATTCAAGTACACAATCCCCAAGCAAGATTTAGTGTATTAGTATTAGTCTGAGTACATTGGTGACTCTAAGCTAGGTGGCCATATTACCGTTGGACCTTCTGCCAGCTGGCCCGTTTATGTTAAAAGACACTGCATACAATTTAGGAATGCACCGATCCAGTATTTGGATCGGATATCAGATGAATGATGCCGATCCAGCGTTCTGATCCAGTCTTTTGGAAGTCTTACTTCTTTTTGCTGTTTGCTAACGTGCAATTTGTTAATAAATAGTTTTAAGTAAATTTATATCTGTATTAATTTGTTACCTTTTTCTAACAAGGCTAATGTCATGCCAAGGTATACAGTTCATTTATTCAACAGTAGTATTGGATTGGTATCGGATATCGGCCGATACCCTCAGCCCAGGTATCGGTATGAGATTGGATCGGGAAAAAATGGATCGGTGCACCTGTAATACACATGTAGAGGACAAGATGAGCAAAGACTGCTTTGTCCACAGGGGGCGCCAAACTGAAAGTTCTATACTGGAGCTTTAATATCATGTCAACATACTGACTAACTCTCCCTTTCCATCATAGTTTTTTTTTTCAGTGGTGGCAGCCCCAGTGTGAATTGTCATTAGTGGTCATAAGGAACCAAAGTTACTTAATAAAAGGCATGATTTCAAGGTTGGAACAAGTGCAAACAAAGCTGGGTTTGGTGTGATTATACAAGAGTAGGACTAACTAACATGTCATGTTACATTTAGCTAAAAAAAACCAGGGGCCTTATGTCTAATCATGAGTCATTAGAAAAACACTTTTGACGCCCACTTTTTCAGGAAACCGCCTGGAAAACATCAAACTGTGCTGTACTTTATCTGCTATGGTGGAGGGTGTACATTAACCTCAATGGTCTAACACTTTGGGAGTATCCTTGTTTACATCCAAATACAAACCTAACAAATCATACAGATCTCTGAGCTTACAAGCGAGTAATATTGATGATGGTGTAAGTTAACTTATTATCATAAAGACTATCATATCCAACACAATAAAAGGGGAAGAATTACAATATCAGAGGCACGTCTCTACACACGTCCTGTTTGAAGTCTCTTCTCTCATGTTATTATAGAAGCGAAACATGTTAAAGTCCACATCAGGCCTCACCCTGACAGCAAGTGTGAGCAGTGGGTCTATATCCGCTCGGCTGCTCTGTGTTGTGTCAGCGACTCCCAGCAGAGCTGACAGCACTTGTCTTGTTCAACCAATCATTATCCGGTTTTATGACTCCGGACAGCCACATTTCTGAGTGTGAGTTTTTGTCTGCTCAGATGTATGTGTGTGTGTGTGTGTGTGTTAATGTGCAGCTTTGGGTGTGGTTTTGAGTCGTTGTTTGCAGACCAAAGAAAAAAAAAAAAAGGTGGATTATATGTGAGTGTTGGTGACTGGATGGATCTGTGGAAATGGGCTGCAACTGAGCATGCACCCTGATCTTAATCTGCTGTTGAAAAAAAAAAAAAAAGCGTATGAGTAACACTTTTACTACTAACCAATTATGCAAGGAGAGGACCTTTTTGTTAAATCTGACATCCACACTGCTCCACCAGAAATTCTCAATGAGTAAGTCTGCAAGAAAACTGAGCTGCTGCCTGAAGTGAAAGTGCAGAACTGCTGCCAAAGAGCAGAGTACACTGCCCCAGTAAACAAAGCTTAAATAGAGACGGACAAAGAGAACGACATGTAGCATACATGTCATTAACCCATAATTAGAGAGTGAATAATCAATATATTTGCATTGGCAATTGATCAGAGTACTAGTTAAGAGGAAAAGGGGGTCACCAGGACAAACTAACTCATAGTATAGACTAAGCACTGAACTCTAAAATCTAAGCACTGCAAATATTTCAGTGCCTTTGTTATGGTTTGTCTGGCTACACATGTGGGTCAGTAATCATTTCCCAACTGAACTGTTTTTACCTTAAAAGCCTTCTTAAATCCACATTTTACTGACTGTGCAACACCAAGGCAGACAGCCAAGTGTGTAACTCGCACAGGTCCAATGTGGAGCAGTGGCTTAAAGCTCCTGTTAGGGCTTTTTAGTGGTGAAGAAACAGACTGAAATTAATAATGCTTATTCTCAATGACTTAAAAAAGCAAATAAGATCACAAGTTTAAAGATTGACTGTTTCTATAAAAGTTACACTTTACACAACAAGGACGTTTGATAAGCAATATACTTGAGAATTCAAATAAAGCATAGAATAAACTTATACAGTAGTTAAGAAATAAGAGGTACTGCTTTGGCCATAAGGGGCGCTGGAATCAGCACAAACAGGAAGCGTCTTACAGGAGCTTTAACGCCAAACCTTTAGAAATGACAAAGAGCTTCGAGATGGCATACTTTTTAAAAGCCAGATTTGGGCTGTTTCAGCTGGATATCACTGCTGACGGATAGAAAGCTTGTATCTTTTAAAACCACTACTTTACAGGAAGTCAAAAAACAATTGTTTTTCAAAATAAATCACTGCATGAAATTCAATCACAAGCTTACTTAAAGTACTTTCCATCTGCTTGATGTCGGAAAACATATTCACAAGCATCATGGGAGAACAGCAGTAGTGATTAATGCAAGAAAATAAAAATGATTAACTATGGAGATATGAGGTTTCTGCCTGATATGTAAATCGTTCTCTAAGGCATTGCTTGAATCATTTTCAAAGGCTATGTTATAGGTGTTTGAAGCTATTTATGGACGACGTTTCTACCTGTAACAAGTTTGATGAGAGACTACAAATGCAGCCTGTAGGGAAAGATGGATGACATGCACCAAAGGGCCCAGGTTGGGAGTTGAGTCAACGGCAGCTGCGACAGCACTGTTGCCTCTGTACACAGACTCTGCGCACTCTGACTGCTGAACCAAATTGGCGCCCTGCGGTTGGGTTACAGTCTGTTAGTTTAATGTATGAATTGTTTTCTTACTCCGAGGCACCAAAACTGCTGATGCACTTCTGGAGCATTAGCAAGTGCTACGGTGTTATAAGAAGTAGCAAAGGTAGCACAATAACATTTATTTTATTTACTTTTAATATAGTACACCTGCTGATATTGCACGATTGCAGTTTGCTAGTATTTCAGCTGAAGTGGTTGGCACAATAGTATAACCACAGGGGTCATATATCCTGCCCCTGAGCGAGTAGCCTCAGAGTGATGGATATTTCTAATTACCCTCACTGACCCTGCTGTCATTAAGAAACCATTTATGCCGTGCTTATAAAATCACAGTGCTATTCTAGTCAAGGAAAATGAATGCCATGCATTACAGGAGCTCTTATGTTACTGTTTTGTGCTGAAAGATAGTATTGTAGGGTTAAAGAGGAAGTGGAAGTAAAAGCTTTGCTCTGCTAGCATACAGAGTGGAAAGGAGAAACATCTGGACAGATGGTAGAGATTTGAGATATCATTTGATAATGTGATGCAATCCACCTCCCCATTTCTGGCTCGAATTTTTTTCTCTTTCGATTAATCTTTGGCTGCTTTTTTTCTTCCTGGAAAGTCACATTTTCTGTCCTTTTTTTCCAGACTTACTCTGATTACAGCCCCCCTCCTTGCTGCTTTGTCATGACAGATAAGGCAAAAGAGGATTTGTCTTTTTCACTCTCTTCCGGGCAGATAGTCCGTCTTGTCATTTTTAGACTTGAAGTCATTTTAATCTCAGAGAGAAATGTGATCAGGAATATGTGTTTGTTTGTGGAGTTGTGCTATACACGCTTCCACACACACACACACACACACACACACACACACACACACACACACACACACACACACACACACATCCTTGTGCTCATATGATGATCACCAGTTTTGTTGCACAGATAATATCAAAAGCACCACTGATGTGAAGCAGAGGGGTCATCTGTCTTTTTGCAACAAAGATTACCTGAATTCGACCAGTTACATACACACACACACGCACACTCAAACACACACACACACACACACACATTCACATCTGGGTTTTATGCAAACTGAGGAGAATATTAGGACTCGTCTCCCTGTTTTTCATACCATAATCCCGAATGAGATTGCGCAGGATGATATTGGACAAACATACTTAGCATAACCAGTTCCGGAGCCTCTTGAGGGACTTAAGTGGGGATTGGGATCCTGCCATAGGGGAAGGCCTAATGGTTCCTGTGTAAACGTTGAGAGACCACTCCTATAATGAAGGTCCATAGGCTTCCTATTTCCGGCTCTATAGAGTTTGCTGATTGACCTGAGAGCACACAAGGACACCGGTAGATGGTATACTATAGAAATTGACTGCCTCAAACCGTAAAAGCACTGCCGTCAGCAGCTTAACTTGATGCTAATGCTGACAATCATTCCCACAAAAAGATGCAGACTAAGGATTAAGTTCGCAATTAGAACAATCTACCAATGTTCTTTCTGTGATTCAAATGTTCGAGTCCTCAAAATACATTTAGCAGTAATAGCTGGAAGCACTGATAAGTATTTTGTGCTTTATCCTTGAACCAGCCAACAGTCAGGTGGTTGGTCCCCAAAGTGCTGCCCATGGATAGAGACAGATTTTTTCAAGCTAAGGCATATGAGAACACTCTCACAAAGGATGCATTGTAAAAATTTGGTTGCACTTGCATACCAGTTTGGAGGCAGAAGTTGCAAAAGCATTAACCCTTTCCTTGGTGCATTCAGATTCAAGCAATTTCGTGACAGTTCACAGCAGCAGAATTAGTGCTTGGTTAATCTAGTGTCATTCACTGCCAGCTGGTTAACTGATTAATTAATTAGTAGTTGCAGCTTGACATTGTGTGACTAATGGATATAGACTCTAATGGTTCTAAAGGGCCAGTTTTCACAATGTGAGTAAAGTAGATTGTATTCAAGCTTTAGAGAAGATATGCTTCATAAAACTGTTATTTGTGATACATTTATTCAGCCCTTTTACTGCTTTTTGTGTGGGTAACTTTAGCCTCTGGCTTTTATTTTGAAAAGATTTAAAAGGACTTTCTCTAATTTCTCTCCTTGTAAAGTTGGGGTGAAGTTAAAACTAACCAGGAGACTACATGAAAAAGTTTGATAGTATTAGAGCGCAAAGGAAAATGCAGAAACAGCATACCAGGTAGGTCAGTGTATTATCCGTTCATTCAATTATTCCATTCAATCTAGTAAACTAAAAAAAACGAAAAAACAAGTCAATATTTTGTTTATTTGTTTTTCTATATAACCGAAAAATAAAAGATTAGTGTTCGTTTACGTGTTTTCAGTTCAAAACAGAATATGTACAAGAGATGGAAATAAAAACAAAATAATAAATCTGCTTTTCGTTTTCCGTTTACTAGATTGAATGGAACAATTGAATGGACTGATAATACATGGACCTAGGTACTTCACTGTCTTTCATGTGTGTCTGTTTTGCAAGGTAGCGTTACTCCCCATCTATCTAGCATCATCAAACTAGCAGCTTTAAGAAACCCACTAAGCTCACAAACTTCTTCCTTCCCTCCTGAAAACCTCATACTTGCTCACAAAGGTCCACCTCCCTGAGCCCTGACGGTTCCTGCTCTACCCTGTTACTTAAGGAAGAACTTCATGCACCAAACACCACCCTTCCTAACAAAACAAACCAACCTGCTACATCAAGTATGACATGTACATGCTTTTTTACGGTTAACAGGGTCCTCACCTCCTTGTAGTGGCGGTGATCTGACAAAAAGGATTAATAAATGTACCATGTGGGAGCGGTAAGGACTAAAATTAACAACCAGGAAACATGACTCGTTTGTCGTTGTGGAGGTAATAAGCGCAAATGAGGCAGGTCGATGAGTAGGGATCCATGGAAACAAGATAAAGGTTTGTCTGAGCTCTGTGTTCCAGGAGGGTCTTGACGGGTCTCTTTACAGTCTGTGACAAAAAGTTTCGAATCTGTGAGTGAACTGTTGACACGGTAGAAATATGAGGTATTGTCCGTGGGAATGGTGCTTGAATCTCTCATGACACCGGAGTTAGGGGGCTTTGAAATGAGGATAACAGCTTGAATGCCTCAAGGAACTATCTTGTGCCGTCATACACATCATTTGAAAGATGATCACGTCTTGTACCTGTCAGAGATGGTAAGCTTTTCATCCTATTATTCCATCTGTTCAGAAATTCAACAAAGACTACGTTATGCTGTCAGAGGAAGTTGCGAGGAGAAGCTGTTTGATAAAGTAAGGTGAGGAAGTAGAAACTGATAGCAAAGATAAATTAACAAGCCAAAGACAGAATTTTGTTGCAAGTTTATAAAATTAAACATTTAGGTGGCTAAATCCTTAGCCATGCAACCGGTAGTCAGAATACTCAGATTTAAAGATGCGTAATTTCAAGTGTGTAGCTGTAAGGATGTCACCAAGCAGAACCAGCTGTTCAAGACTAAAAATCATTATGGACAGGGAATTGGTGTTACATGCGAAGGCATTGTGTAAACCGATGATGAGAAATGAAAAAAAGCCAAGAAAATTAAGGGCCTGTGTCCACGAAGAGCATTATTAGTGTTTGCAGCATCCATGACCTCAGTTTTTGAGCGGTCCTCACCGGCATGTGTTATTACTAGGCTACAAATTCAGTGGCGTGGCAGATTTGCTTCCCTCAGTAGTGTCCTTCAAGTCTTTCAGATGTTCTGTTTACTCAACATTTGCTTTAATTCTGCTAAGGTAAAATCATTTTGTAGAACTGTATTAGTATTAGCATTAGCAGTAGCTCTAGACCTAGAGATAGTTACCTTACAAAAACAACTCTGGTTAGTTTCTCCTCTCCAAATAGATGATAAAATAAGCCCCGCCCTTCTTGAGTTTGATTGGTCACAGATAGAGGACAGACACTGACAAGCTTGGCAGTGTTCCCAAAACTGAACAGGTCTTATCTGAGACAGCTGTAAGTGCTGCGACAACAAACAGCTGACGCTAAGGGCTTAGGGTGCTGGGGACTGAGCGCACAGGACTACACTGGTTAGACATAGAACACAGATGCTGCCAAAAAGAAAAAAAACAGGAAGTGTACACAGGCCCTTACTGTAAAGAGGAGGTGTTGTGGAAAAGGACTCTTAAGCTGTATGATAAAGTACACAGGTCAGCAAGTTCCTCACTGGTGTGTCGGTAGAAATCGGTTTTGTATATTTAACATTTTGTGCATCTGATCAGAATCTGATTTTTATTTATGTACTACAATCCCTTTAATATTTACAAGGCGTAACTTTGAGGAACATGGTTATGCAACATTGGGCATTAATCCACCATTCAGCATTTTTTTAAGGCTTTGCAGTTACTTGAAATAACACAAAATGCCAAATTTACCAGCTTCTGCCTTATAACTCATCTCAAATGCAAATCCTCCAATGATATTAATACATTTAATCAAAGGAGAATTTCTCTTTTTCATGTTTGTTAACTTGCATGGAGATCTACTCTATAATATCAGTGATTCCCAGAGTCAGTGATATAATAGTCTATTAGCTTGTCATTCTGGCACTGTGAGAAGTACACTGTCAGAGCTGACTTTCACTCCTCTCTGACCTCTTCATCACACTTCACGAGTCCCAGCCTGTGTGTGGCTGCTCATTTGTCGGCTGAGAATGAATGCTGCTCAGTATTCACTCTCTCTTCAGGACTGACAGGGCTGGTATTTATGGGCGACCTCTGGGGGGAAAGAAGTTTTTACCCTCTGACCCCAGAATGCTAACATGTGACCTCAGCGGACTTCCTTCAGTTTTTATTGGCACTGCGGTGTTTATGTTTGACGGATTTCGTGTTGCGCCTCAGATAGAAGGATGCGGAGCCGCATGTGTGTTGGTGAGAAGTCGGGGTGTGCGTGCTGGTCTGATACAAAGCGTGTGCGTGTGTGTGTGGCCGGTGCAGAAAGGCAGGGAGGAGCATTGTTGTCCTTTTGCTCTTTTGGCCTGGAGGAAGGAAGCTGTGGAAATGGGGAGTAGAGAGAAGGAGAAAGAAGTGACTCTAGTCTCTACTATAGCCTGTGTGAGGGGGATTTTAGATTAGTTGCCTGTTGCAGACTCTCTCAGTTTTCTGAAGCAGGTTCTGGGTCATTAAACTCGAGAGTCATTTTCATGACCGTCATTCTCTCTGAAGAGGGAACATTTCTGAGCTAGACTGTGTTATTTTGTGAGAATGTTTTGATTTGTGTGTCTCTATATGCACTCCCATTCAAAGAATAGTCAGAAAATAACCTGTTTTTGTTTGCGTCTGGGATCTGAAGAGTAAGCAGTAAGTAATTCAACCTGTCCTTAACCTCTATTTTCTCCTTTTCCTGCCTCTCAGTGCTGTCTAATTTCCACCGACGTGGAGGGTTTTGTTTGTGTGTGTGTGCACTCTGAGGAGACTCATTATGATGGCAGAATATCAGTTAAAGGCTCTCGCTTTTATGAGTGAACACCTGATTGAACGCATTTTCCTTTCACGCACTAGACGAGCTCTGCAGAAATGGGTTATTAGATTTTTGTTTGCCAGTGATGAAAAAGTGAATCCTGTTTGGAGGTGATATTTTAACTTGTAACATGTTATGAACAACAAACTTAGTGTGGTTCTAGCTTTATTTTCATCAGCTCATTGAGATTAATGACCAGCTCGTCTCTAAAGGCTTCTATACCTGCATTTCAACCAAGCAGTTCAGTATTTGCTTTTCCCATGGGGAGTCAAAATAAAAAATCTGTACCGTTTTACTTTGAGACACTGTTCTGTTCTGATTCTGAAGGGCTATCACCCCTAACCTGTTATTGACCCATGAAATGATCAATTAGCACCCGATTTTAGGTTGGTTTTTATCCATATCAGGCAGTGCTTTCAAGTGTTAAACAGGTGTTGGTCCTACCAGTGAGCAACAGACACCAGCTGAGCAGGAAGGGGGCACAAAGATGGATGCAGAAGGGAGGGAGAATAAACACCAGCAGCCAACTTAATGCATGACAATTTCTTTACGAAAAAAAAAAAAAAGCTGTGCTAGTTATTACGAACTGGCCTGGACACAACTTCAAAATAAAAGCACTGAGTGAAGACAAAAAAAGGGAGTCTCCGCACAGGGAAAATTCACAGGTGGGTGAATTGCAGCTGTGTGCCAGGAGGCCAAAGCGCTGCCCCAACTCTTAGCCTGTTTTTAGGTCGACTGAAACTCAGTAAGTAAGTATTCCAATATGGAGATTACCACAAAAAAGCCCCTTTAAGAACCATTGTGTCAGATCCACACAGTCTACGGTCTCTCCCTGTGTTCTTCTGCTCTTTCTCCTGTTGCTTCTGTTTCTATCATTCTTATTAGACGAGCAGAGAGAGGGCAACCCATATGGTTACAATGTTGTAGGTGTCAGATCCGTTCAGACATTGTGCATTGAAGTGTTTACTATTTAATTAGGCACGGATGCTATAAAACAAGCTTTACAGAAATCTGTGCATTTATACGAGTATGTGTGAGCGTGGGAAGACAGATCCGAGTGTTGCGTTTTGTCTAATTCCAGCTAGCCGTGGTGTTTGTCGAAGATAATCCCAGATTAGTGGTGATGACACCAGGTGAAATCTACCACGAATATGCCGATACAAACAGCAGAATGACAGGCTGCTGTCAGTGTAGCAGCCTTCTGAATTTTCTCATGTACAGTTTTGGACAGCTTGTCTTTGCTGACCTTTTCACCCAGAAAATACGGCTTTAAGGTTTACAAAGCTGTCCTGAACTTTGAGAAGATGTTTTCGCAAGCTGTAGAAGGTTTGCAGAAAACTATTAAAAGTTCTACGAGTGCATTTTGGTAACAGTAAGGATGATAAACCATGTGAAATGACAGGAAAACTGTTGTCAGAATAGAGTTAAATTGAGGTTCTTGGCCCAGTAGGACTAAGGGCGCGTTCACACCACCCTCGTTTAGTACAGTTAAACCGAACCCCTGAGCGTTTACCCCCTTGGTGCGGTTCGTTTAGGTCGGTGTCAACGCTGACCTCGAACTCTGGTGCGGACCACATAAACAAACTCTGGTCCGCCTGAAGAGGTGGTCTCGGACCGCTATTAGGTGAACTCTGGAGCGGTTCATTTCTGGTGTGAACGTCATCCACACCAATCACAGGAAACGCACCAAAACAATACATAAATAACAATACAGCAAGGCTACTTGTAATGCTGGTTGTGAAATAAATGTTGTCCGCTCACCTCACTTGTCCTGATTGACACCAGAGAGAAAATCGTGGTAGGCTCTCATTAATGCCTGTCGCCATCTCGTCTTTATCCGTCTCTTGTTTGCAGCACGTCTACATTGGAATGTATTCATTAATGCCGCAGTTCACGTTCGCTGGCTAACAAGCCGTTCATACGCGCAATCGACTAGCGTCTTTTGATACGCGCTCCAAATGAGTAGCAACAGCAAAATCAGCCTACGATGCTCCATGACAAGCGAAGACAGCAGAGTGCGATTTGTATTCCCGCATAAACTAATGACCAATAACTGAATGATGTTCGCGGTCTCGTGACCTCCGGTTCCGTTTTCTGGAGCGATTGAGTTTGTCCTTTGTGAACGCAAACCGGACCAGTTAAACAATCAAAACAAATGTATCGTCTTGCCTTGTATTCGAATCAGGAAACGGACCTTTAGGTGTGAACACGACCTTAGATCTGAAGAAAAGAGATCATATGTTCCTACCTGCACATTTCCTGTTTGCTCTATCCTGCCAGTTCAGTGCAAGAACAACGATTCCTGCACCTTTGGGATTTGAGTTTTAAATGCACTATGGGCCTCTAAATCAACACAATTTCCCTCGACAAAGATGCACAGCAGGATTATTACCCATTACGTTCCATATTACACATTAAGGTCGTCACTCTTCGCCGTGTTCGAAGTGACTTCTGGTGCCAGAGGACTGCAAGCACAATGCTATTAGAAGAGGATGCTGGTGCTCTATTCAGGCAGTTAATGTGTTCCTGGAAATGCTAAAGCAGCAGTCGACTCATTCGGGAATAGAGCCGGTCATTAGTCTGTTTCCTTGACTTCTTCCGCCATGCACCTGCTTTGACGTATTGACAGAAACATCCCTTGTATTAGTTTGTTGTTTGTTTGTTGCAGCCAGCAGACTTACTTACATCTGGTGTGTTTATTTGTCTCAGTGTCTTTCTGCCGGTCAGCTCGTGAGCAGCCGCAGACTTCCATCAACATTTTGTTTTCCCTCTCATAAATGTAATCACACCTCTTAACTGCGCTGCAAAAACGCCCGTCTGAGAGTCGGCTTTCCTACCTCATAAGTTGGTACATAATTTATGAGAGCGGCTGCAGGACAGAGTGTGAGGATGTTCCGACAAGGTAGACATATTTTTTCCCCGATACGTCTGAAAGATTCATTACAGCTGTAGAGCTTTAAGCTTTGAGGAGCACTATTAAAATTTGGGTTTGAAAATAGATGCAACTTGGAAAATCTGAGCGCTCAACCTGAAGCCGGTCCAGCTGACATCTGCTAAACTGTGGCGTGATCAAATCCCAGAACAATTTAAAGTTTTTTCCTCTGTCTGTTGGGGTTAACTGATCATGGTTCTGCTTTTCAGAGAGTGTTTTTTTATATCAAGCCAATTTATCTCATCTCTTTACTATTTGCATGTGGGTATTTCAGGGGGGGTTGGAAAGCGGTGGTTTTGAGCTAACTGTTGGGCCTCCCTAGGGTGCTACAGGCCTATCACAATAAACCACCAAAGAGGGTTAAACCTATTTGATAACCCTGGTCATGTACCGGCTTTGGCTGTTCAGCTCTCTGCATGTCGGGGTTGACTGCTACATGGATATTACAGTCCATGTGATTGGTTGTGTAACTTATACATGATGAGGATGGGTTTCTGCATCGAGCACTTCATGTTTTTCATTAGTGCAAGTAGATTGTGTTTGTTTTACATTGTTTGATATTCATGAATGGGAATAGGCATGTAAACAAAGCTTACCACTCCAACAAATAAGTGTTAATTAAAGCAGGAAGACGACGTTTAGTTGCTTCATTTCTACGCAGATCTGCCCTTTTGTTACCCATCTTTTTGTATTTGGTTTTGTTTAATTAAAACTTATTCAGCTGTAATCCGTAATTCCTCCATACCTCGAGTCTCAGAGCAGTTCACACCTGTCGTAGCCGTGCAGAAGGAGTGCGCCGCCTCATTTTTGCTGATGCTCATAGTGACCTTTCACAGGTCAGGACGGTCAGCTGCTGCTTCCACGCCTCCTTCATACCACTGATGAGCTGATCCAGATGAGGCTCGGTCAGGTAGATGCCCTGCTTCCACTGTAACCTAAGGGACAGGAAGGGGAGGCGATTAGTGGAGAGAATAAGTTGTAATAACAAAACTCTTGTTTTTATCATTAAATGCATAATTTTCCTCATCTCGTCTGATTTCTCTCCTCCTGCATCTCCAGATGTTTTCTCACTCCTCCTGTTTGTGCTGGATCAGTGAGAGGCGAAAATTAGAAAGAATGTGTCTAGACAGTGCAGTGTGTGTTCGTGTGTGTGTTCATGTGTGTATCTGGGGGTTGATCAGATGATTGTGGTTTTGCTTTTTCTCCAAAGGCTCTCCATGTGATGGTGATGTGGCTAAGTGTTAGAGCAGAGAGCAGGGTTCTGTTTGGATATATCTATGTATGCGTGCTATGATACACCCCTGAGGTTTTCTGTCCTCCAGCTGCTGTGATTGGGCACCAGAGGAACAAGCATGACCTAAAACTGTACGCCTCTAAGTGTATAAAGAGGAGTCCGTGTTGTACCAATGCCTGCTTTCGTGCGGGAAAATAAAAAGTGCAGCAATCGGACAAACCCTGCAGCGAGGGCAAGATAGGGAGCTCTATTGATATGCTCTCAATTGGATCTTTGTTAGGACTAATTGGGAATGATGCGAGAAAATTTAAACAGTGATGGTGAATGTCCTGGCCAGTCATCGGGAAGAACAACACGATCAACCAGTATTAACACATTGTGCCGGAGCTGGGGAAGAAGTGGGTGGAGAGAGATCTAGAGTTGATTTGTCATCGCTCTTTTGTAACAGTTTTGATGTACCAACGCAGTGAAATGAGAATCCCATATGTGTGTTGTGATACAGTTTGAGCCGAGGTCAGAAAAGGCGAGCTGCTGCCGAGATGATGAGCAAACTTTGTGTGCTTTTATACTAGATCGCCTCCAGCCAGTAGAAAAATGAATCTTTTTACACATCTCTCACTAACAAGAATACCAGAGGATGAGAGTTTCTCTTCTGTTTTTGAAGATTTCAGCAAACTTTAGACAAATATATTCTCATAGCTGCTTTTTTTTGTTCTCGCTCTCGGGTTGGAGCTTGAATGCCTTTAATTTGAGAATATAAATAGGTCTTCTGTTAAACCTTTCATTTCAATACTTCTTGTTTGATTCACAGTAAAAAAAAAAGGCATCATTTAAATAAAGACATTAGCAACATTTTATAGCTCACTAAATATTCAGCTAGCAATCAGTTAGCATTAGCCTTTAAGCGCCCTAGCCAACACAATGGTATGATGACATGGCGTGATTAAAAAAGTTTGCTAACAGTAAAGCTACATGGTAATAAATGGAAGGTTGATGGTAGATAAGCTATTGTTCAACTCCAGATTATGCTAAACCGTTTCTTCTTGTGCTAATACACGCTCTACATTGATTGATGCTGTCATTAGCTGTTCATGGCTAAGTTTAGCAAGCTACCTGTAGCTAACCAACTTTTCTGTTTGAGTCTTTTATATAATAACTGCTTTATTCTTTATCATAAGCTTGAAATTGATCAATGCAAATGTTAGCTGTTACTGTCAGAGCTGAAGACTTAATAATATCCTGTTGTACTTTTAAACACGCCTCCTGTTCCTCTGGTTTTATAATATCAATCTTTTTCATTCATGTCATCAGAAAAAAATGACAAAAAGACAGTTATTTGTCAGATACCGAACATTTACATGATAAAAGTCAACACTATAACATCATTAATGTCTTTTAGTAGTAGTATGATTTCAAAGGAAGTGGCTTCTACGTGAAAATTGTTTTTGGCTTTGCGAAAATCACATTTTTTCATACAAAGGTTTCATTATATTGAGTGGAAAACTTACCAGTTCTTATTAAACCTATAAATTTGCACTCAGTTAATAGTATTAATCTCAACCATCAATAAGAGTATCTCAGGTAAGAGGAGTGACACGAAATAAACAGCCTCATGCATTAAAGTCATGAAACCATGGATCACCTCTTACCTACAAATCTGTAACAACCACTGCAACTTCATTCAGTCTTAAATAATCTTATCTCGATCACCAGTTTTGTCTATAAAATGTCACAAAACTGTAAAAAGTCTTTGAATACTGGTCCAGTAATAGATTAAGTAAAGTAGTGTATAAGTAAATAAGAATTTCCTTAACCTACATGCTAATTCAGCCGACATAATCACACGTTTAGTGCGAGAGGATGTTATATAATCTTCTGCAGCATTAATGGATAAGTTTAACATGAAGAACAAACACTTGTTGAGTGCCTGAGAGCACTTCTCAGTAACAGACACTCTTTGATAAATACTGTCTCAGAGGAGATTCCAATCTTTTTTTACATTTATATCTTTGTCAGAGGTCGTGGGGAATTTTCCACTGGAAAGAGATACAGTAATTCATTCACTGGTAGAGTTTTATGTAAGACTTAAGAAGAGGTCTAATACTGTCATGGTTTTGTGCCATCTGTGGTGAGTAAAAGTGAAGTCCTCTGACTCTTTCTTCAGTCCTGCTTCCGTCCATCCTGCTCGGGTCTGGAACTTATTAGTGCAGGAATCTCCAGCAGTGCCCTACCAGCACATTAGCATGCCATTGCTGACTCTGCCTGACAGGAAAGAGACACTGATATAGTGCAAACAGACGGACATTTAACCTCAGTCAGCGGGAAGTCGTTGGGAAGTAAATAGTTGTGAAGGAGAGTGAGGGTAACTTCTGATGCTGCCGATGGTAACGCTTGATTAAGACGCCCTCTCTCTGTCTCTCTCTTTCAGGATGGCTGAGGTGTCACAAGAGGAGAGACTCCAGGCCATCGCTGTAAGTTACCTTTCATACACAGACAGTCTTTTCTTTCTCAGAGTGCACACCAGGGCACACTGATGGCTGCAGAAACAACAAATCATTGCAGCCTGTTAGGGTTTGACCGCCCAGTCTTAATGACTCAACCTTTTAAATCCCATCTCCTTCACCCATTAGAGGACATCGAGGGCTAATGCAGCAGCTACAGCTCACTGCACATTTTCTGTCTGTCTCCTAGTGTCTCCTCCCTACTGTCTGTCTCTCTCTCTCTGTTGGTCTGATGTTCATCTTTAGCTTTCTATTCAGCTTTGAATGTTTCAATCTAAAAATCACACAATTTAAAGTTATTGGAACTGATTTGAATTTCTTTTGTTGTAAAAACAGTGCCACAGAGATTTTAAGTTTTATCTTCCCTGACTGAAATGTGAGACTCGAGGGCCACAGTGTATTATTCCTTCAAGGCGTGTGGTTTATGATGCTCTTTGAATCGCTCAGTAGACGCAGAGTAACCATAATGTGTGTTTACAATAACAGGAGAAAAGGAAGAAGCAGACAGAGATCGAAAACAAGAGGAGGCAGCTGGATGATGACCGACGGCAACTCCAGCATCTCAAGGTCTGCATACGCCCACCTTTCACGTATAAACCCATTAGGAAAATTTACCCTATTTGTGCTTGTAAACCTGTGGGAATAGCTGTAGTTCGAGGGCAATTTGATAATATAAACCTCAAATTAATGTGGGAGAAAAAAGGATGGCTTGCTAGCTCGCTATTACAATTCAGTCAGGGCCACTTTGATGCTTTACAACAAACACAGGTATATTTCCACAGGTGATACTGCACATTCAAGACTGTGAATTAACTTGTGTCAAGCTTTCATAGAACTTTGCAAAAAAAAGGACTTTTATTCATTTGTTTGACAGCTGGTTTTGGGGCACATGGCACCAGATTACCTGTTATTCCTATGGTATGCAGGCCGATCTATCAGCTCCAGGAGAGAAATCCATCTTCTGGGCCTTGAGTGAATAAAAAAACAACACACAGCGTTACTTCACAGTCATTCAAAACACCCTCAGAACAGTTTAAGAACGCATTTACAATGAGACCGACTCCATTTATTTTGGCTACACTTAAACACACACTGAAATCAGTTTAGAAAAATAAAAGCCAGCTGGAAAGTATCTGTAGATGTTTTTGTATCCTGTTTGAAAATGTGCACTGTCATCAATATGTCTCCTGCTGCTTTTCAACCCACTTTCCAGCGTGGGCGTCTGGGCCGACCAGAAACTTTTGATCCCTTGTGTGGTCAGCTACCAGTTGTTCAAACCGGTCCCTAACCGGTATAACAAGCCCCCAACTGTCCTCATACATCCTGTGCTGGATCTCATGTTGTCTTTCTTTGTGCCCTCTGTCTGTATTTTACCTGGAAAACTCAGGGTTGCCAAAGTGGATTGGTGTATTTTTCTTAACCCTGGCTTCAACATCTGAGAACACGATAATTCCACGTTGTTTGAAATGTCCTGCAGCACTCCCTCTGATAAGATTAAGAAGTATTTATGAATAAAATTCTTTCCAAGACCAACCTGAACCCATCACAATCCCCTCACTCCCTCACTATAACCAGAACTTGAAACACTCCGCCCTGTGTTTTCAGGAATTACACCCTGCGTATCAGCCGTTTTTTAACTCCCTAACAGCAAAATCAGAAAATTAAACAATTCCTTTCAAATCCATCAGTCCCACATGGAGAGATCCTCCCTAACTGCTGCTGTCACGGTATGTTCAGAACGGACAGCAGATAACACCGACAGCTCCTCCGCATGCTGTTTGTACACACACACACACACACACACAGACAGACAGACACACTGTGCATGTAGGCACACACTCATTATATCAGAGCCAAAGCTTTTGTCAGCGCATGTGTCAGCACTATCAAAGCTATTTCAGCCGCAGACAATCCAGCAGGTCACAGATACAAGAAAGAGGTTGTGGTGTGTACGCGCCTGTGCAGGTCAGTGTATCTTTGTGGCTTAAAGTGCCTGTGACCTGTGCGGTTGCCCTTGCGTGCTCCCGCTTTTTCTATTTTCAGAGCGAAACCTTTGTAAGTGTGTGTCTGTGCGTGCGCGCCCCGTTTTTGTGTGCGCCGCTTCATAAAAGAACACAGAAGCCTCAGACAATGGGGTGGGCTTTCGCAGAGGAAACAGATTTTTGTCCCACTCCCACCAACAGGAAACAGCTCTTGGACCCGCCGCACCCCACTTTCGTCCCACAAGCAGACAAACCCGCGCACACACACACACACACACATACGCGCAGACACACTGAGGGGAAGTGTAATCACGCTGTACAGGAGCATTAGAAAGCTCTTTGTGCAAACCGCAGCAAGTATGGCTTCTCCAAAGGCGTCGTCCATGTGGAAAACCCAATAAACATCTCCTTTACACGCCACATTTTTTTAACGAGGGTGTACCTGTCCTGCTCCAACATTAACTTACACTAATACTGGAAAATAGACACACATACGCACAGTCGGGGTGGTGAGATGAGGTCATATGACGTTAAAACAAAGTGTGAATAGGAGTTATGTTTCTAATTAACAAGTCTGAATTAGGACCTCAAAGTGTCAACAACGCGTGTTAGCTAAATATGTGAAACACAGAGTTTAAAGCAGAGCATTTAGACCCGTTTACTGTGGCTAAAGCTAACCACACTGCCAGAGACCTGGAACTCTAAAGCTACTCTGACTTATTGATCCGCTCAAAAAACTAAGGTGTGACAAAAAAAAAAAGTATTTTTTCAGGGACTTTTATGCGAATAACTTCACAGAGGTGGTTACTGTTAGGTTTGGTTTGCTGTTTAGCTGTTTCTGTCAGTTCACTAGCTTAATTTGTGCAACAAATTTCATAAAATTGAAGAAGGTTGAATTTTTTTTTTTTGATCATTTTAGCTTAAAGGTGGGGTAGGCAGGATCTGAGGAAGTGCCAGTTTTGGGGAGAAATCTTGAAAGTAAACTCTACCCCTCCCAACCAGTTTTCCCCTCAGCTCCTCCTCTTCCCTCCCTCTCTGCTCCAACAAGCCCCGCCCACAAACAGACGCTCCTGCTCGCTCGTATCGTTCCAATTAAATTCAGATATAATGCAGATAAATACTTCAGATCATTACAAATGGGGCCCAGTCAAGGTGAAAGTCAAAAGCATTGGTGCTACTGTAGATGCCAACAGACTACCAGCAAACACAATGTTTGCAGGACTTCTACAACGAGGATAAAGTGACATAGTCCAGGACCCGAGGTCAACACGGAGGTCCCGTTTGACAAGAAACACTTCTGTTACACTTGGCTTACTTTGTTTAAGCGGTTTACCTGTCCAGCAGAAAGGTTACAGGGTCCGTAAGATCGCAAAGCGTCCCCCATCGTTTATGCTGATGTTGACCCGCTCTTGTCTGGTCTACCTCCTTTTTAAGCGCCCGTTATTCCTCCAGACTCTCCAATATTTTCTTCATTTTCTTGCTTGTGTTTTCCGTACTTTCTGGTTGGTTTCTACTGTCTGATGTTGTAGCACGATAACTTTGTTTGGGCTCGTTTGCACGTTATTGGAAGACGTAACACAGACATAACAAAACACAGCGATATTGTTATATTACAAAATGTCATCAATAACTAAAAGCTATTGACTGATATTAAAAGCTTTTTTTGTATATACGCCACAAAAAAGATGCTTCTTTAACGGATACCTGCCTACCCCACCTTTAACTCACAGCAATACAACAGAAATACAACAACAGATCCACCAATTTATGGTCGTCAGAGTTTTTCACCAAGTTAAGCAAAGTCCATCTTCTCCTGACTGGTCTAAGCTTATTCAGCAAACAAACATGAAAGTTATATTCATTACACGTGTGTCTCATGGCAAATAAGCAGTTTCCTTGTAAAAGAGGAGCTCCTTTTAAGAGTTTTTAAAGCTTATCTGAACTATTTTAAACGCTTATTCAGCAGTTTGAAAAAGCTAGCAGAGTAGTAGTTGTGAAATTAAAGAGATAAACTCGTATTTCGGGGAAACTGAATCACACATTTATGATGATTTATAATGGATGTCTTTTCAAGGAGTAGAAGTCACTGGGTAGAAGGAAAGATGCCAAGTCATTTAGAAATAAGCCCTTTTCCCTACAGCTGCTCCGCTCATTTGGACGTGAGTGTGTGTGTGTGTGTGTGTGTGTGTGTGTGTGAGGGGGTGAGGGCCTGTATCACAATTCCGCCCTTTGTCTGCTAGCTTACGTTAGCAGCTTTTACTCGAAAGAACAATGGAGAGAGACATAACTTCAGCGTGCAGCTTTATGACTGTCCGTGCAGACTGGTGTGTGTTTGTGTGTGTGTGTGTGTGAGGGTCTGTGGGATAGTGCGTTTCTGTGTGCACGTGCTTGCGTATGCATGAGTGAGTACATTAAGTGATGTCAGGGATTGGGGTAAGTAGGGTGTGGCGTGAGAGTGAGCAAGATTTAGAGAGTCGAGTTGGGAGCAGGGTTAGATTCAGGACCCGGGAGACCACGCAGAGCTGGAGTAAGAAGAGTGTTGAATTACACCGTGTGAATGTGTGTGTAAGTGTGTGTGTGTGCAGTGACAGAGAAAGCAGGAAAGAAGAAGCGCTGGACTAGACTGCAACACAAAAATGCAGATTGAAGCATAAACAACCTGACATTTGCAATCTTATCCAGTATAGCATCCACAAAGCAGAAGTTCATGAACTTTATGATGGATAGAGATGCATACGAGAGAGGAAGGGCTGTGTCGGATGAGGGGGGAAAAAAAAAACAAGGGGCTTTTGCTGTCGAAATTCTTGTTGCATCACTGCAGAGGAATTCACATCGAGCACAGGTCCAGATTTTCAGTCCAACTAGTGAAAACACGAGCTTTTTCTCGCACTTTTCCATATGGCCATGCAGGGTTGTCTTTCACTGCACGGTCTAACAGCTGCGAGTAAGACACACTGTTATATTTACCTCAAAGCATGCCAAGTATTCGCTTTGATATTAGCTTATCTGCAGGAGGGAATGTTGACGAGGAGTCGAGATGGAAATACGGGGATGTTTGGAAATCGATGGAGGGAATAAACGCGGATTAAAGCGGAGATAAAGAAGTGGGAGGTAAAGGAGTCGTACGGTGTGAAAAATCCACCTCAAAACAAAGTGTACGTGTGTTACTTCTGTGTCAATGCTTTCATCATCCATGTGTGAAGTTATCTTGTTTTCCGGTTAACTTTATCTCCAGTAATAATAATAAAAAGCTTACAGTCTAAAATCAGTTCATTTGGTCACAGTCACATTTCCTCTTGGAAATATTTGATGCGGTCTGAGATTATAACCATTATGTTGTTTATCTTTCACTGAGTTATCTAGATTTTCAATCACATGCACAATCGAGTATAATAGGGGAATTATATCTTAGTTTGGAGTTTGTGCCAGACGCCTTGATGATCTGGACGGGTGCCACAGTCCACTTGGCAACAACGAGTTGGCAGCGGCTTTAAGTATGTGACGGAATCAGTGAGTGGCAGCAGTCAGCAGAGGCGTGCTGGACGGACTCACTGGTGAATTTTTTTTTTTTTTTTGTTCTGCATTCGCTAAAGGGCTTGTTGTTCTCGGCGAAAGTGCCACTAATCACATCACAAAGAAATTACGCTGGCGTCAGAGTGAGAGAGGCTGAGAATGGGTGGCACTTTGGGAGGTTCTGCTAATGAATCAATCAGCTGCTTCAGAAGAAAGAGGCCTGATCAAAGGTCCTCCAGCTGATTTACAATGAACACATGGGGTTATTCTGTTGAAACGTGTTCCTCTTAAACCAATTACATTCAAGAAAAGGAAGGAATTCAATCCTCTGCCTTGGTTTAAACTTTGTCGAAATTTTTCTCTTTCTAGTCAAAGGCACTGAGGGAGCGCTGGTTGTTAGATGGAGCCCCAGCAGAAGAAGAAACCCAAAAGCGTCTGCAAGAAGACGAGGTGAAGACCAAACTCCTGGAGCAGGTCATCCTCAGGTCAGCATCCATAGACCTAAACCACAAAGTGCAGAACGCCTTTGTGTTTACAAGAGACTGAGTCCGAAAGTGTGCAGTTACTGGCATGAATACATTTGCCCATTTCCAGTTGAAGCTGCAGGAAGAGTGAAGGCGTATCCTCTCATTCTTTGAGCCACGGCTGAATGAATAATGGAGGAGAATTCTTATGTCGCCCCAGACGACATCAGAGACAGGGTTGGCTGATCTCTGTGGCTGTGGGGCACAGTTAGCTCATAGGCGGGCAGGCGAATGATGTCATGTGTGGCAATGGCAAGAAACAAAAACTGATGGATCTCAATTTGAGTGACATTTAAGACATTGAGTGACATTGAAAGTGTAAATGAATTAACACATTTATCAAGGTTTAAGTGTGAGCATAGATCAAAAAGAGCTCCGCATTTTGGCATTTTAAATCTTGTAATGAAATGCAGCTTGGATCAGCTGAATTAAATATTTAAGGAACCCTCCTTTGTCCTAATTTTAAAGGTGTTTATGTATTTATAAGTTGTCTTTTGTATATAGTCGTCTCTGTCATGTCGAGAAATCCCAGATTTTAATCATTTATTTGCACTTGTGTGTGTTTCTGAGGCAGGCTGGAGCAGGAAATTGAAGAACTGGAGACAGACACACCACCCAAAAAGGGTGTGGCCAAAGAAAATGGAGGTAAGTTGAGTACCCATGGCAACAAATGGTCATAAAAAACCATGGCAACCCAGCCCGAACACCTGTGACAGAGAGAGGGAGCAGGCTAATAATGGCCTCTTTATTTGGTCTATTAAATAGACTTTTCCTGCGGAGGTCATTAAAACAATATTTCCTCTCCTTCTTTGTCACTCTTACCACCCTGTTTCCTTTTGCACTCTCTCAACCTCTCAACGGTGCTCTGGTGCCCCCTTTAGGTGAGAACGGAGTAGTGCAGACCTCCGGTCAGACCCCCAAAAGAGAGGTGACAGGCATTGAGGCCAAACTGCTGGGTCCCAGTCCGGACCAAGCTAGCGCAGACAACCCCGTCACCCTGGTGTTCATGGGCTACAAGACCGTGGAGGAGGAGCAGGAGACCAACGCCACTCTTGGAATGGAGGGCGTTGATGGCAATGTGAAAGCCGAGTTTGTTGTCATCGAGGATGGGGAGGGGAAGGCGGGAGGGGAGGCAGCCACAGACGAGCAGGCTCCACCCAACGGGAGCATGGCGGAGAAAGAAAAGGCCAACGGAGGCGGGGAGGAAGGAGAGAAAGAGAAGGAGAAGAAACAGACCTGCAAATGCTGCACGGTCATGTGAGCTGGTTGTGTGTATGTGTGTGTGTGTATGTATGTACTTGTGTGGGTGGGTGAATGCACACCTGCTCCTGTGCAGGCATGTGCACCATTGCATGTGTCTGTATCTGCAGATGTGTGTGACTTTGTGTCTGTGTGGGAAAGAGTGTGTGTGTGTGTGTGTGTGTTTGTGTGTGTCCGGACTGGAAAAAAACACAAAGTACAGTTCCACAGCCAATGTACCAACAATGAGAGCCAAAACAAGCTCCAGCTACAAGAACAAGAACCACAGAGACTCATAAGTACACTTTGCTCTGTATACTTTCTCTGATATGTATTTGACTTTTGATTTCTATTGATATTTTTCTATTTTTCTGTCTTGACATTTATATTGTATTCAGTATGTATATCTTTATTATGGGACTGTGTACTGTAAGTTCATTGTTATTATTGTTGGAAAAAAAGAAAATGTATTAGCTCTCTGGATTGTACTGCTACCCTCTGGGGCAAATCTGGAAACTTCAAATCATTTAAGTCAAAACAGCAAACTATGAAGGACACAGATACTCAAATATATATATTTCTCTGTGTAGGCCTACCAACTATTTATCAGTCAATTTCATATTGCAATATTGTCTAAGATATTATTTTAAATAGTATTTTAATATATTGATATGAAATTATGTTTTATACAATGGTATTTATTGTTTTGGGTTCTCTATATCATCTCCAACCATTAACTGCATGTAAGCTTGTTAGCACTACCAAACTCGCGTTACAATCATAAAAAGTGTCCGTGCTTTCTTTAGACTCACGTGCTCATATCTTTAGTCACACAGGTCTTTCTATCAGTAACCGTTTCTAGAATTGGCAGTGTTAGATGTGCATTACGTTCAAAAAGAAACCTGCATCACCGAGATTAAGAGGCTAATTAGAGCAGTGACCATGTTTCAAACCGCATTAGCTTCCCATAGATACTATAAGTGACACATGTACATGAAGATCGCAGCGTTTGTATTTTCTAAACCTGATGGATACACTCACTTTACGACCATTAGAGTCACGCAGAGCCATCGCGCAGCCGTTTGAAACGCATCAGCTATTCCTTTCTCTCAAGAGTAGAATCAATGTAAATCTTATGAGGTAGCACTGCATGAAGCCTTGCAACTGTTTGGACTGTCTTGTCACTTTGTCAGGTCTTTATTATACGCTCTATCACGTTCACATGAATGTAAATCCAGGGGTTAAATTGGGATTCAGTCCACCGTAATGAGAGGAAACGGTGAGAGAGAGAAAAAAACAAAACAAAGCTTTTTGTCTCTTTATGAACCAAATAAAATCTGATGATACTGTTATTTCACTGTGTGGTGTTGGTCGGCTGCTGGTTTCTGTCCCATTCGCTCCCAGTTTAACCCCTGACTCTTTGTCTGTAGACCTGGGCCCAATAGTACTCGAATAGATCCACAATGAAGGACAATAAGGAGGAACTTGAACAGACTTTTTACAAATAATGATGTTTCTGGGGAAAGAAAGTAGCTACACAGGAAAATAAGCTTTCTATTGATAGGCCATATTAGATAAGACTATAAGATAAGTTAGTGATCATTTTAAACTGTAGAGCTCCCAGCAAGATCAGTTCTGCACGTTTACAATCGAGGTTAAGTCTATTGAGTTACAGTTTGGCCCTCGTCTCCTCACTTGTTTGGCAGACAGTACACGTTCTGTTGAGGTCGACGCCCGGGACAGTGATGCGTCAGCTCCCCCGGGCTCGACCATGTCTCTGATTCACCTTTCACCTTCACCTCTATGTCACAACCGCACGTCTTCATCCTCGTCATCGAACGCACACAATCCCACCTCCTATGCTCGGAGACACACACAGTTTGAAAACCTCTGAAGTTGGTGCTAAACCTGACTCTCTCGTCTAACACCCTCCATCCACCAACTAACTTTCTTTCCGACTCTTTCCCTCATGTCGTACTCACAGAGGGGATTGTGGGAATCTACTGCCTCCTGCATACACTCCTTGATAAGAGAGTCTTTTGCAACCTTCAGTGCCAGATGCATTCTCTCAAGTCCTGTCTGCGTTAACCACCAGAGAAATGATCCCTTCTTACATTCCACAGGGAGGTCAGCAGGCGTGGACAGATGAAATATAGTCTATGCTTTCCATATGTGCAGTTCCACTGTAATTGTACAACTTGCAACCTTGTTCCTTCTCTTGACTCATGTTTCTTTTTCTTTCCTATGGCCTCTTTCCAAGGCAGTATACTGTATTTGATGTGTGTATTTTTAAAAAAAGATGACTACATCTGTGTATTGTTGGTGCCTTTGTCAGGTTCAGTTGGTTGGACTTGTCTGTCTGCCGCCATTTTTTTGGTGCCGGGGTTTTTCCTGCTCTGCTCCTGGTCATGATAACCCACTGCCTTCTAATCTTGAGGGGATACTACACAACAGTAGAAGAAATAACAATCATTTCTATGACAAGAAATGCAGCTCAGATAACGGAGAATATGCAGACTACTCTTAGTCTAATGAACAACCTTTAAATATACAAGAAACTACACCCAAGGTGAAGCACTTTGCCAGGATGCAACCTTTATGCAGGAGATTAACAGACAGTCTGTGTGTTTATGGACTGTATAAACACATGTATATATGTGTGCATACATATAGGTATACAGACATCTGTACACATAGGAATACATGTGCATTTGCTGAGCTTAAGCTATGCTTAATAGTGGGTCTCTGGGGCAGCAGCAGAAAAAGCAACCTTGTGTTAGACCAATGCCTGTTCATCTTCTCTGTGGTCGTCTAAATGTTTAATCTTGAATAAAACTACTGTTTGTTTACAGCAAGTCAGATAAGTGTGGATGTAATTAACCGGATGTGCACACACACGCGCGCCTCAGTTAATGATGTAATCCTCTTTTTTTTTTATCTAATGGAGTCGCAGGTTGGCAGCAGGACACCCTCAGGGATAATGGCACACAAACTTACACGGATGCGAGAAAGCTTGAGAGTCTTTTAGTGACAACATGAAGGGGATCACAGAGTTTACAGTTTTTCTTTTGAGATGGGTTTTATTTCAGGGCTCTGGAAAATCTTCAAAAGTTTTTGGTTGATAATTGACTAAATATTTAGCTATTACATATTTTTGGCAGTGACCAGCTGGGATAAAGGTCTCTTGGCCAGGGATGGAGGTTTAACCTAGCGGTCATATCAAGCACCACAAGTACAGAGGCTAAAGTCCTTCAAGTAGGCAGCCAGGGTTTAAAATCCCATTCATGGTACTTTGCTACTCTTCTTCCAGACCTCGATTTCCAAATAAAGGAGGACTTTAGGTCATAGAGGAACAGTCCAGCCCTGAAAAGATGATTTTGACATTGTCTTCGGATCAGGGGTGGTGTGTTTGGGATCCGGCTCAGTGCTGGCTCTTGATGAACGGACACTAATTTGTGAAGTTCTCCAAAGGTCTTGAATGGACTCTTCTTGACACTGCCGTCATCCCTCTTGCTTGTGCGCCTTTTCCTACCACAATTTTCCTTTCCAGTCAATCCTCCATTCATATGCTTGGATACAGGACTCTGTGAACAGCCAGCCTTTTCACCAACAACCCTTTGTCATTTACCCTTCTTGTGAAGGGTTTCGATGAAAGTCTCCTGAACAGCCAATTAACAGTCTTCTCAATTACTGTGGTTCAGTGTACTGAAGTGGACCAAGAGATAGACTATTTGTACTGTGATTTACGCAAACTCAAAATGAAATATTATACATTTTTAGCTTTTCAAAATTTGAAATTAAGCCTGTGGACAGAGCGAACAATGATTTAAGAGTGGGGGCTGACATGAGGGAAAGAGGCCACAGGCTGTAATTGAACCTACGCTGCTCACTTGAGGACTGTAGTCTCTGTACATTGCACTCAGCTTAGTAACTAGGCCAAACCAGTGCCCCAAATTTTCACTATCTTAAATAATAAATGGAAAATGTAGCCTGGTGTCACCAGACCAGCTCACTATGATGGCACCTGCCAGCAGAAATAACCGATGATGGCTGATGGGTGTGGAAATGCCAGGCTAAGGAAAGGTTAAACTTTCCTCCAATATTCAAAAATGTTAAGACATTGAAGAGTCGGGTCCAAGGTATGACTAAAAGCAGCTTAAACACATGAACATGAAAATTATTCAGCTGAAAAATATTATTTACTGGGTAACTTTAAAGTGCAATACCTAGAAGAAACCACTAGAGAGCAGGCGTCGACCGCTTTAGGAAGTAATTCTGATTGAGGTTGCCAAGTGTGTTACACTGTGTGTGTGAAAGAAAGGAGCACAGGGGGTGGGAGTAATTAGAGTGACAAAGACAGAGGGGCATTTAAACAAGGCATTCATTAGATGGAGGTCAGATATGCACTACTTAACAAAGCAGCTTCAGTTATACCGCTTCACACCTCAGAAGTTCTGCATCCAATAAACAATAAAATGAAACCTCCTTATAAGAAATGTGCATGAATGTGGCATATTCAGCTTGTGGATATTTTTTATGTGATGAGACACATTTTGCCATTTAATAAGAGAGGCAGGAGCGTTCCACATCACAGGACACAGAACATATTGTGTGCTGTTTTTAGGTCACACCCATGACAATGCTTTTCCATGTTCCCACAGACACACACACACAGAGGCAATGAAGGAAAACCTCACTGTCCTGGATATGGCCGGTGGAATATAAAAAGTCATTGTAAATAACACGGAGTGGGAAGTTTTAATTGGAAAAACAAAATTGAAAAGTGAAAAGAGAAAATTGCATTCCTAGGAGAAGACCGAACACAAATCCTCAGCTCTACGGAAGCAAAGCTACGTCTAATTGCTGCTATGGTAACAGCTAACAGTAATTACCTTTCCTCTGTAATTAGTTTGTAAAATGTAAGCCTTAGCTAGCACAGTGTGAGGGAAAATGGGGTGGTCATGGTTATGATATATTAAAAGTCATTTTTGCTCTCAAATCCAGCCTTATTCTCACTTAAATAAATTTCTCTCTAATACCCGTACAATGCAGTGATAATTATTTTTATATGACGGTGTTTCAGCACCAGACTCTTTCCCTACCTTTCCAAAAACAATAATACCAACAAGCTATTCAGAAAACTGTGGGGACCTTGTTCCAGATTGTTAACAAACCCAAAGGTGAAGCTGTCTCATCATTACCTGTGACAACACATGTTCAATTGTTAATGAGTGATTCTACTTGGTTGAAGTGTTCACATACCCCTGCGAGGTGCACTTACTCTAATAATGTGTAACTGAGCCTAAAGTGAACTTTAAACTACTTTTACTGGTCCCCTTCACAGCCGTAGATGTTGCCTTGCTTTGTTGTCAACTTAAAGCTCTGCCTATTGTATGTAAATTTCACATGCTGCTGACAAGATCTATTTCTGATTCAGTCAGGTTGCGCAACATCTAAGTATCATGGCAATTAGCATCTTGACTGTGCTCTACCAAAACTGGAGCTAGTGTGAGCTCGCAATCGGAATCCTTGAAACCATCTGCTAATTTGAATAGTTTAGATCTATATTTGGCATCACGGAGGACCACAAATGGTCGGGCTTTACTTTAAAATGAAAAGACAAAGAAGAAGTTCTGTACCTCTGAATTCCCTCATTGCTGCGGACAAATAAGTTGTGAATCTCTCGAAATTTGGCAGCATGGGATGAGAGCCAAGTTAACAAACCTATGTCTTAAATTTCCCCTTTAAACAAGTGATATCTATTGTCCTACAGCAGGCTTATCACCTGAGGTTCTGCATACAAACACATGTCTCAGTGACTTAATTCAGGCAGGGGAGGTTCTATGGAGGAGTGTGGGGTAAGATGAGCCAGTGGGCAAGTTGACCCACTAGGCAACTATCTGTTGTCATGTGATCATATATCCAGGAAACACCCATTATATGTACCTGGTATGTAGTTAAATGTATTCTGGTCTCTGTTTATTATATGGGTTTGGGATTTGCCAACATACAAAACCAAGCAAAGCACAAAGATTAGACTGAACTGCTAACCTTTTTTTGTTCTAATCAAGGCCCAAACTGAGTTGGTGGTTCACTAAGAAATCCACCTGTTTCTTCAAGGATTACAATAAAGGAACTTTTCCAACGTAACGACTTTAACCCCTGACTGCTGCAGGAACAAATCACATTTCCCTGCATTCTTTATAAATACAATGTCTAATAACTATTTTTTAAAGTCAGCTAAAATGCTCAAACACTTCTCACGGGTTCAAACTGGAACTGCTTTATGGAATGTAAACAGGAACTACTGGTGGAAATACCCTACATGACAAACTTCAATTTCCATGACACATTAAAAAATTCAAAACCATTACACCAACAAAAAAATCTAAGTTTAGTTGACATGAGTTATTTAGTAAGCTTTGGGAAACTAATTCAAACCACTTTTTAAATCAATCTACTTTCAAAATAGATGATAGTTTCTAAATTATGGCCCGGGTTAATACTTTAATATGAAGACGGATCAGTTTAACCACTAACTTCTAACTTACCCTGAAGCAAGTTTGGCCACAGTTACAGCTATTTTGGGGAGTTCCAGTCTTTTGTCCTGGAGGCATTCATGTACTTGTTATATTGGAAAACTTATGAGTGTGTTTTAGATGTAAGCCTAGCCTACTCCTGTCTCAGTATTTCTTACCTAGAGGGCAACATAAGTTAAAAATGTCTCCTCTTAACCCACTCTCCCCTACAGGGGCCACAAATTCGAGCAACAATCCTGTTGCCACCACACTAGTGCTACATGAGTACAAATCTCCTCTGAGCATTGTTCTTTCCCGATAAATATTCAGGAGTAATGTTGACAGGCTGTCCTTGAATAAACCACAAACAGCAATAATATAGGGGAGAGTGGGGTAAGATGAGCCACTTTTCATATTTCGGATCACTACATCAAGACAATCGCAGTTTTGTCTCTAACTAGTGAATCTGCATATATTTTCAAGATGTTGTGTATCACTGCAAACCAACAGAGTATAAACATAACTGTCTTGATAATATAGTATGCCAAAAAAAGGTCTCCTATGGTCAACTTACCCCCGTGTATGGAGTAAGTTGACCTTAGGAAGGGGGTAAGTTGAGCCGTATCCCTACAACCCCCCACTCTCCACCCCAGCCCTCCCTCACCTTCGCTCTCCCTAAATAACAGTCACTTCTTCACATTCATGTGTATTTGTATCTATTGTTATTCAACTAGTACAATAATTCTTTTTATTATTGCATATAACTGCTAAAAAGCTGTTTTGTAAAAAAGCCGTTTTAACATGAGAATGTCTTTAAGTGATTCAGAACATTCAGATCTGTATTTCTGAAAAGAAAAAGTAACACAGTCAACAATCTGAACTGAAACTCTGATCCTCTCATCAGACTCCTTCACTTTCTCAGTTGAGCCCCTGGCCAAATGGCTCAACTTACCCCAGAACAACTATTATGACTTCATTAGTCCTCTAAGCCAGTGGTTCTCAAATCCAGTCCTTGAGGCCCACTGTCCTGCATGTTTTGGATGTTTCCCTGCTCCAACACACCTGATTCAAATGATCAGCTCGTTATCAAGCTCTGTTATGGCTTAATATGGCTTAATAATAACGAGCTAATCATTTGAATCAGGTGTGTTGGAGCAGGGAAACATCCAAAACATGCAGGACAGTGGGCCTCGAGGACTGGACTTGAGAACCACTGCTCTAAGCTAAAATGGTGGACTTTTATCCAAGGTTTTTGACCTCATGTTGCAGCTCATAGATACCACAATTGGTGTATAAAACAAATTTAAAATGATCCTTTTTGGTTTGAACACAATTCTTATAAAACTTATGACAGACTAAATTCACTTTCAAGAGTGAAAATGTTTTTCTTTGTAAATAAATGTCTAACCCCTTCACCCATGTGCTTCTAACCTTCACAGACTCCATGAATTGATGCACAGCTCCTGGATATTTGGTCACATTTTCAATTTCTTTTACCATTTTCAAGCAACGGGGGTGCCTCAACTTACCCCACTCTCCCCTACATGTGTAATGTTTTTGTCTGTTCCTCGTATATTGAAAGAGTGCACCAAAGAACATATTGAACCAGCTCTTCCCTTGTGCCCTCTTCAGTTCAACCTCGATAAACTTACTCATCTTAGTGTATTTTCTTACCTTTGTTTCATACTAAAAAACACGGACTCAGTCCACGCCACTTCATATACGTACTGGAAATTTGCCGCGGCCTTCTTTTTTCTCCAAATGATGGTGGTCTTGTCCAATCGCGTCTCAAACAGAGGCTCGTCCCCGCCTATTTCTGGCTCTTGAAAGTCCCTGGACTAATCAGCGCTCGCCTCCGTGTGTTCAGCCATTTTGTAAGAAAATCAAGCAAGTCTGCCGCCCTACCTTCGCCTCAGACCTGCAGTTTTTTTCTTGTGCAATGGACGGGTAAGTGAAAAAGAATCACTCAAGACTTCATATAAGTCGGCAAATCGAAAGCCGGACGGGTCGTTTATTGACTTCGGGTGACTTTTGAGGCGATTGGATTTTAAGAGGGTGTCGGACTCGATGTTGGACCCGGAAAGTTTAGAAACATTTTTTTTTTCTCTTCATCAAAACATGCAACAGTTAGCAGGAGCGTAAGCTAGCTAGCAGCTACTAGCAGTCGCTAACCTGAGTTTTACGAACCGATTGAAGAGACATTTTTATCATTTTATTACCCACAAACTTCACCTGAACAAATATAACTTTACGTGTTTGACATTTTTACCACTAATGTCGGTTTTTGTCGGACCGTGTTAGAACTCGTTGTTTCGCGAGCGCAGACGTAAGTGACAACGGCTAACTGTACCTTGGTAACTTGGTTTCACGAGAGCTCGAGCGCTGGCTAAAGCAACGTGTCTCATTTCCGCATTCACTCGTCTGTGGAGTGCCAGGGCCATGTTGAAGATGTCTGGCCTGAACATTTCGCGCTGATTGAATTAGAGACCTCTTCACCGGGTTATCTTTACACGGTAACGCCGCACAATAGCGTTTTGTTCGGGAAAATCGTGTTTTTAAAGGTGATTTTTCTCGCTTGGTCGTCTCAATTCGGCGGTAAAAGCGACTTCCGATGCAGCATCAATGTTGCTCTGACATCAACCGGGACACTACTTTGTGCAAATTCGCTTTTATAGATTAATTTCATTACATCATGCCAAGTTTCTACTCTTAAGCTCTCTTTTTGTGTTTTCTCGACTTATTACAGCCGCCTAGACACTGACTTGTACCCTCTGGGATCCGGCTACGTCCCTGAAATTGAGTAAGTGCTTTGTATGTTTTTGCATGATTGCCTTAGGGTCGAGTTAAACAGGTTGTTTTTGTGCTTTCTGAATGTGAAGAATCTGAATGTTCCCATTTCTTGAATGAGGAAGTGGAGACCATTTTCTTCTGAGTAACAGTAAATCACTCATTTGTGAGGACTGTGAGCTTCGTGGGGCACGAAGATCTGTCGTGACAATTTGTCAAATAGTCTCATGATGGGCGATGCTTGGTTTTTTATCTGCTTCCTTTAAATTTGTTTGTTTCCTTCTCTTTTACAGCAGTGTCCATGACATATCAGTTGGCACAAAGGTAGGCAACTTTTGCTCATTATCTTCTCTTTACTGTTTTTCTTTTCCCCCTTTTTTCTATCCTTATGCACAAGATATTATTGCACACAGAGTGAAGTTTAGTCCTGACATTACAGACCTGTTATTAGATTAATCCTGAGAATTATTTGCATATTGCCCTCAAATTGAAAGTGATAGGATAGTAGTTCTTCAAACCTAATCTTGAAAATGCAATCCACAATAACATTTCAGTCAGTTTGCAAGAGCTTCCCCTGTAATTACAAAACTGTTGCCAAACCATTTCTCATGTGCAATGAGTTTGCAGTTTGACGCTGTGTCTTCTTCAAGGATTTATAGCAAACTATGCATTTGTCAGCAAATAAAGGCTTTTTAGAGGGGATGTTTAAGCTTCTAGGTGGAAAAGATTAACAAAAGCTTTATGTTCCCCGTCCTGTTTCAGTTGTATTGTGTCTGCTCGGAAATGAAACTTCCTGTTGTTTATATTGTGTGAGTTCTTTAATAGCCCGCTGGTTGTACTGGAATGTTAAGAAAGCAGCTGAATCCCACCATGATCCTTTTTTATATGCAGTCTCGCGTCTATCACAAGACTGCTCGAACTCTGAAACAAATTAGTACAGTGTTAATCTTTTTTTGCATGAGTCTGGGTTTGTCATTTCTGCAAATGGGAGAGACGTTGCAGGCCTTTTTAAATGGGTTACAAGCTCTTCTGCATGTTTGCGTGTGCAAACAGTGTAAGCAGACGTGTTTTAAAAGGGGGTACATTTGGCAAAGTGCTGGTCGTTAACTCGCGTACCCAATAAAAATGCCTGCTCAAGTAGTCATCCTTAGTAACAGGGCCCGGGGCAACTATGTGTAGGTGGAGTAACTGTCCTCATCCTCCTCGATCAAAGTCCTAAAGGCTGTTCAAACAAGCACTCCCCCAACAGGGACACACCCCACCCTCCCCTATACATTTTTTGAGTGAGGGCTGTTGGTTCCAGGTATAACAAGATGCAACTTTCACATGTGTGTTGATCACTGCACAAGGTTTGACTCCCAATGTGGGTGTTGTTTCTCTAACTTCTCCTGGTTTCTTCTGTGTGCTGTGGTAACGATGATGCTGAGTTATGGAGCGCTGCCTTGCTGGAATCTGTAATTATTCCGTCTGGGCAGAGCGTCTGGCATTCCGCGGTCGCATTCCAATCTCCCCCCTCCAGCCCCCTGGTGAGGCACAGCTCCCTGCCCCCCTCCACGGGCGAAGTCTAATCACACTGAACCAACGTGTCTCTACCTGTGCTTTGTCTTTGTTGCTCTCCCTATTGTGATTGCCACCCAACAATCCCCTCAGCAAAGCCCGAAACACTGTTTGCTCACTCTAACTGAAAAGAAAGTGATCTCAAAGGAAGTTTTGCTTTTTCAAATTGTTTTTTTTTTTTTGTGTGTCAAACTTTTTATGCTCCTTTTCCTTCCATTGACATCATGTGAACACTCCCATAAACCTCAGTACACTTTAATTCAAGGTAGGCTCTCTCATTGTCAGAAGCTGAGCTGCTCAATAGTTTCAGTATGTCAGCCAGTAATGTGTCATCGTATCCTGGAGGCTACTATTATACTGTTACGTCCTGAGCAAACAAAGGATGTGAGCAAGTCAATACACATTTAGTGGGTTTGTGATGGAAAAACAGGTTTGGCACTGTGTGGGAGTTGACTAACAAACCGTTTGTAAGCTCTGTTTTTCTTCCATTGACTTTCAAACTTCTCTGCTTGCACTCTCTACAACCTGCCCTCCCAAAGCTACAGGAATATTCTACAGTGGGTTGTAACAGCCCTGTGTTCTCCTCTGTATGTGACTTGATGTTCCCTCCTCTGCACTGTAGACCGCCTCAGCTCGGAGTGGTTATTATTAGAATGAGGAAGAAGGGAGTGAGAGAGCAGAGAGAGAAGAGAGAAAGGAAGTCTTACCATAGAACAGTCGCCATCAGTCCCCAAGAGGAAGTTTAGCAAAACCCTGGAAGCAGGCCTGATCGCCGTGCTCTTCCTGTTTGGAGTTAGTCTGCTGACTGATAATGTGACACTGCCCGCCCACGAGCTTTGAGTCAGGCTGGAGCCACTTCCTCCATTTCTCATGGCTTGTATCTGGCGGTGGCACTTTTATCACACGGAAGTACATCCTAATGCACTTTCTCCATCTGAACCTATCATGGGAAAACAGGCCGCTTGAATTGGATCTTGTAGTTCCCTAAACATGTCAGATGTTTTACTCCAGGGTGTTGCTTCTCATGTATGTCCAGATTTTTTTAAAAAAAGTGTGTGTCTCTGCCTCTGGAGTCTGTCTGAAAAGCAGAGGAATCCCTTTTGTTGCTTTAACTTGATAATTTGGGATAGCGAACCGTGTTTGTAGGGGCCCCAGCAGTGAGGTGATTACAGGGTAAGCCAAGCCATCTGGAAGTCAAAGGTTAGTTTACTCTACTTCTTACAGTGTTGTGCTCTCAGAGCCTTTCACTCACTCTCCCCACCTTATTTTCCCTGCCCGTCTTTTATTAGAACACTTCTCTGCCTGAACACCGTGCATAGGTAAAGGCCAGGACTCACAAGGTGGAGAAGAATGCCAGCGAACCTGCATGACTGGTTGTTTGAAAAGCGCTCCAGGGCTCTTCAACTCCCAAAGAGTCCTTAGGGCTCCATATGTGTGTGTGCCGCTGCGTAACAATGCCCCTAGTCTCAGCCAGAACAGGACCTCCATTGTAGAGCGTTGTAGAGCTTAGACTGCTGAGCCACTTCGTGTGACTGCTATACTTCATCTGCTACAACCACAAACACACTCACACAGCCTGAAACAGCATTTTATATCTACCAGAGAGCGGCAGCAGACAGTAAACCAGTGTGGGCTGGATCTATCCCATCTTGTCTTTCTATCTAGAGGGCTTCACTGTGTTATCCCCACTCCTAGTACTGAATTATGAGAGGATGGGTTGTACTGACTGACAGTTGCTGTCGAGATAAGCTTTTACTGCTGACTTGTGTGTTTAAATCTGAACAGGAGCTGTTCCCTTGAATTTGAGGCGAGATAATTTGGCACGCTGGCTGAAGTCACAAATAAAGCCTTAGCGTGGATGTGCTTTCGAAGGCTTTTCTGTAAGTGCAAAGTAAGAGGGGAAGACATGAGCATGATGGGAAGTGGAATACTCCTTCCGAAAAGCCCGGTCACTTAATTCTTGCTTGTAAGAAAGGTGGAGTTCTCTTGAAGCGTGTTTGCTCAATCCTCTTTTGGTTATCAGATTACTTCCTGCTTTATCACACAATGGCTGGGTAATATGAGAGCCGTGCTCTCCACCTGCCATGCCGTGCCCTCATTGGTGAAAGCACTGAAGTGAACCATTGTTTTCTCTCCTTCTGCAGAGGGGATCCGACGAACTCTTTTCTTCCTGCATATCCAACGGGCCCTATATCATGAACTCAGGTAGGGCTGTTGCCATGGAGGGGTGCATCCTCTTTTATTAAAGTGCTTGTCGTGTCTGTGTTGTTTGTGTTGCCATGGCGATCAATCCATTATTCAAGACGAACCAGAGCCCTCTGTTTCCCCTCCCTGATTGTATCTGCTTCTGTTTTCCCCCCGCAGCCAATGGCAACGACAGCAAAAAATTCAAAGGTGACGTCCGCAGTCCCGGTGTTCCATCACGCGTGGTCCACGTCCGCAAGCTGCCCAGCGACATAAATGAAGCGGAGGTTATTGGACTGGGACTGCCGTTTGGGAAGGTCACTAATCTGCTGATGCTGAAAGGGAAAAACCAGGTAAGGACGAACACATGCCGGTCTCACCAAACTCGTATGACTCGCACCCGTGGGAGACGATTCTCTGTCAGGCCTGGGAAAAGGTATCAGCTTTCTAGGCCGCTGTGCTGACCTGGAAATAATGACAATGACCCTTTTGTCAGATCCTTGTTGTGTGGGAGTTGTGAATTCAACCGGCTAACATTTTTAGTAGAGAAACATAAAATCTCTTTTTTTATTCCTCCATCGCCCGGAGCTTTATGTCAAAATCAATAAAGATCTTAAATGAAAATTGATGAACCGTCTGTATAAACCAACTCTGAAAGGGCTCATAATTGGAAAGAAGCACCACGGGTCTGTTCAGTTATTAGGACGGCTGATTCAATGTTGCCTCAAAGTGACATTTTCAGTCAATATGATGGAGAAGATCAATCTGGGATGTTTCTCTCGCAGGCGTTCCTGGAGCTGAACAGCGAGGAGTGTGCACAGACCATGGTGAGCTACTACTCCTCTGTCACCCCCGTCATCAGAAACCACCCCATCTACATGCAGTACTCCACCCACAAGGAGCTCAAGACGGACAACTCCCCCAACCAAGTGGTGAGTTGAGCGCGTGAACACTCTTGTTTTTGTGATGCTATCATTTTTGTGGGGACGCCTTGACCAGAGCAACTTATTATGAAATCCAGAATTTGAAGTTGCACCTGAATATCAGACAGAATCTGGATTTTGCATCTCTAAGTGAACACTGGCTCAGAAACATACAAATTTAATGCAGATGTGTAGCTCTGCATACATATGTGCAATCTACTAATGCAAACAGGGTGCCTCACACAGGGTCCACAGGGTGCTGTCACCCTTTTAAGATGACTAAAAAGTGCATCCATAATCCCACATTTGACAGCATCGTGTTTTACAATAATGTCCGCTCCTCAGTCCCTGAACTTCACTACAGCTTATCCAGGTTTGCTTTTGTTTGTTTGTTTTAACTCGATCACTGTTCTGACATGTCCTCCTGTCGTCTCTCTGCAGCGTGCCCAGGCAGCTCTGCAGGCAGTCAACGCTCTGCACGGAGGCGGGATGGGGAGCATGGCGATCTCCACAGACGCCAGCAGCCTCGGCGGAGGGGCAACCCAAAGCCCCGTCCTCAGAGTGATCGTGGAGAACCTCTTCTACCCCGTCACCCTGGATGTTCTACACCAGGTACAGACTTTGTTTATTATGGAGCTGAGTCACCCCGTGTATTGTGTTGTTTGACGATGGTCAGTTTTAACAGCGACACTTCTCGTTCAATATTGAAACATGTCTGCACTCTGGGTGTGGAAGATTAAAGTGTCACTCAATACAGAAAAACAACTCATTGAATTGTAAATATTGTCATTCTCAGCTGCAAGTGGGACAAATAACTGAGCAGTATGAAATAAAGAGACTGATCACGGCTTGACGGCCTGTTTAACATCCAGTTTATCTGCTCTGAATATTTTTAAACGTTGTCACATTAATGTCCTCTTACTCTTTCTCATTATGTGACTGATTGTTGATTTATTTCCTGCTCCTGCTTAACAAACAAACGTGGGAGCTTGATGAGTTTTACCGACTTGTTTTCACAGGATTTTCAAATCGATGTGGTTTGTTTATCTTTTCAAGTAATAATGATGTCACCTCCGATCACGCTCCTCCTTTCCCTCCCTAGATTTTCTCCAAGTTCGGCACTGTTCTCAAGATCATCACCTTCACCAAGAACAACCAGTTCCAGGCTCTCATCCAGTACGCAGATGGCATGACAGCTCAGCACGCCAAACTGGTAAGACTGGTACAACAAACGCTCTTTGTCTCGAGGTTTCTGTGCGATGTTACCTGTGAGTAATAGATCAGCGAGTGTTTTGACACCTTAACTGTAGACATGACAAAAGAACGCTTTCATCGCCGCTACAGAACAGAGTGTTTTCGCTGCGACACGTTTGATCTCCATGTTTGATTGAGCAGCCATGTGAACACCCGCATCTTCCTAACGCACACGTATTTTCTCAGTCTCTGGACGGGCAGAACATCTACAACGCGTGCTGCACCCTGAGAATCAGCTTCTCCAAGCTCACCAGCCTTAACGTCAAATACAACAACGACAAGAGCAGGGATTACACCCGGCCAGACCTCCCCACTGCAGACTCACAGCCCTCCCTTGACCACCAGACCATGGCAGCTGCTGCATTTGGTAAGACTGGGACGTTTTTTTGCAGTCGAACCGATCACACACGGACTTATTTGTTGAAATAAAAGCTGAATAAACTGACTCTCCTCATCGAGTCACATGTTGTGTGAAGCCTGCGTCCTCAATTTTGTTGTCTCCTGTCCCAGCTGCACCAGGCATAATCTCAGCCTCCCCCTACGGTGGAGCCCATGCCTTCCCCCCAACCTTTGCAATCCAGCAGACAGCAGGTCAGTGCGAAAACACCCTCACTGTGCTCTTCCTGTTGTAAAGAGACCCGTTTCCTGTCCGCAGATATTTCCTGAACATCTGCAGATTTCAAGTGGCCTTTTGTGCCGACTCTTATCTGTGTCACAGTCCTGTCTTTGTTCATGTATGAGGACTGAAATAAGGTAAAAATACCTCATGTTTTCTTCTCTCAGGTCTGTCCATGCCTGGTATCCCCAGCGCCCTGGCGTCCCTGGGAGTGAGCCATGGAGGCATGGCGGCTGCAGCAGCAGCAGCTAGCCGGCTCGGCCTGTCAGGGCTCGCTCCCTCTGGGGGGAACAATGTCTTGTTGGTCAGCAACCTGAACCCTGAGGTCAGTACACCTATGAGGCTTGAATAGTCATACAAGCTGCTCCGTCTAATACACATGTAATGTTACAGAGTATTTGACTCTTTGGTTCGTGGATCCATTTGTTGAGGGGCCAGCGTTTTGGCCCACCATTCCCCTCCACTTTGAAGAGATCAGACTAGTAGGAAGTACCCTTACCAAAGTATTGACTAAAGAAGAAGTGGGGTCATCGAACCTTTTTCTCTTTCAGACCCTCTCTGTGTTTGACCAAACCTGCTGCATTTCTGACCTGCCACTTTTGCTCACTGTGAATTTTAAGTTTATTCAAAACACTAACTTCTTTTTTTTTTTTTTTTTTTAAACTTACCATTTCATATCTTCATTTTTGTCCATTAGTTGAAATCATTCTTGAGTTGTTGGAGAGACAATATTACTTTTTCTTGATATTTTTAAAGAAACACACCGTGATGGTGAGGGTGTAGTGTTTGTTACCTTTACTGTAGCTCTGTAGTCGTTACTTGGTAAACTTAAAGGTGAGCTTTAAGGATAAGATTCAGATTTGACTGTTTTAAGAACAACAAGAGTTAAAGAAACCTGGAGCCATATAGGATGTAATTTAAAAGTACATATTGTCTCTGCCTTTTTCTGTATTTCATTGTTAATCTTTTTTCTCTTCTTTTTCTCCTAGTGTTCCCATAGTGACAGTGCATTTTAATTTAGCCAGTTCTACTGTCTGAAGCACTACATTTCTTTGTGTATACTGACCTTGTTTTTTACTTCCTTTTTCTCTCTCTTCTTTCTCTGTCCCCCCTCCCTCTTTTTGTGTTTTTAAAAAACCCCCCTCACCTCAACTCTTGCCAACTGACTGCACGCCCCACGACCAATTGTTCCTCCTCTCCTCCTCCTCCTCCTCTCTCCCCCTGCCACTCTGTGACTACACCTTCCACACACCCAACCCCTCTTTCTCCATGATTAATCCCCCCCCAATTTGGATCCCACCCACAAATTGAAAACACAACAAAAACACATTGGCACCCTTGATTTTTGCCATCATCTGTTCTTCCTCTACCTCCTCTCTTCCCTTCTCCTCCTCCATTCTCACGCTGTTTGAATCTCCTCCTCCTTCTCCTCCTCTTCTTCTTCTTGTCCTCTCTTCATTCTCTTCGTCCCTCATGCCTCTCCTTCCTCCATGGTACTGTGGCCTTCCTGTGGACCTCGCTGCCTGTGGCCTGCGGACATGTCCCGACTCCACTCCACTGTCCTCCACTCCGCTCCGTTTCTTTTCCCCTGTCCCCTGTTCCCTATCCCCCTTTGGCCCCCTGCCCCGCTGCTCCCCCTGCTGTCTCTAAAGAGCGTTACGCCACACTGCCTCTTTATTCTTTTCGGTACGTTATCATCCTTTCATCTCTTTTTATTTATTACTACTGTTACCTCGCAAGGTGGGCATGTCTTGTCTCATGTTGTTGGCTTTGATTTTTTTATTTTATTTTATTTATTTTTAACCACTGATGTCTCGTCATCAGGCTACAGGGCTGTGAGGGGCGGGGGGTGTCTGTTTGTTTGGGGGTTTGTATGACCTGTTTTGGTTGTCGTGGGTTTGTGTGAGGAGAGTAAGGTGAGAGAGCCTCACAAAGCTGCAGCATTTCATTAAATTTTAAACAGCAGAGCTCTACTGTCCATCGGCTAAATAACATTCGCACTTTCTCATCTTCAAAGAGCGCAGAGCCCCCTCAAATGGAAGCGGCGCCTCGCTAAATAGAAATTCGGGGATCATTTTGTTGAGGAATGAGGCGAAGAGCCAATCTAAATTCTAAAGCATCACCCCCAGGAAAAGGATAAAAGTCAACTCTTTATTTGGTTTTCGCACGGTCCATTTTGAAACCATGGAAATTCATCTAATTTCCATTTCTGTTGGGCTAATTTTTTCCTAGTGGAGGCCTCAGGTCCACTAAGCATCAGTACACAGATGAAATGCTGCTGCTTCTTTAGTGTTTATGAGCTGACATATCTCCCCCGATTATGTCACCATCATACTTTTTTTTTGCAGTCTGTTTCGGTTACTCTAACGTAGGTATGTGCATGTTTTTAGAAGAGTCCTGCATGTCTCTCTGTTAGGCCCTCGAGTCAGCCGATCGAATCAACTCCAATCAGACCTCTTCTGTTTATTACAACTCTTTGATTTTGGCCCTGAAATCACCACGTCCCCCTCCCCGAAGCATACCCATCCTAGCCACCATCATCTGTGTTCAAATGTAGGATTAGACCTAGCAGCCTCATACAGAATTAAACATACAATCAGTAGACTAGCCGGACAACTCCTTATCCATCATCAGACGGTGTGTATTTAGTTGCTGTTTGATTCTCAATGTTCTCTATTGGATGGTTGATATTGTTTTTTTCGTTGCTGTGATTGTTTGTACGGCTCCTGTTGAGGCTTTGTTGCGATGCCGCACTCTTACTGTGACACCCTCCTCTTCCTCCTCAGGTGTGTACGGCGACGTGATGAGAGTGAAGATCCTGTTCAATAAAAAGGAGAACGCTCTGATCCAGATGTCTGATAGCACACAGGCTCAGCTAGGTAGCTACACACCCGCTCTGAAAAACACTTTGGGCTCCTTTTGATCTTCCCTTTTCTTTCATCTCTTTTTTTTTTTTTTCCCTCCACATCATTTTCACATACTGTACTTTTTGTTTTTAGCCTTTAGCTAGTGTGTCATAACTGCAATACAGAAGTATGCAGCGTCATTAGAGAGTGTAAGTCCAGAGCTGCGAAAGCCAGATGTTCAAAGCGTTGTCCGTGTTTATCTTCTCCCAGCTATGAGCCACCTGAGCGGCCAGCGTCTTCATGGCAGGGACATGCGCGTGACGTTTTCCAAACACACCACAGTGCAGCTGCCCAGAGAAGGCCACGAGGACCAGGGCCTGACGAAGGACTACAGCAACTCACCGCTGCACCGTTTCAAGAAGCCCGGCTCCAAAAACTACTCCAACATCTTCCCTCCCTCCGCAACACTCCACCTCTCAAACATACCGTGAGTGCTGCTGCGAGAGCCTCACGCTCTGAGCTCTTCTTTTGTAGACCTGACTCTTCATTTTAAATGTGTAGTACTTCGGATTAAGCGGCTGTGACAGTATTTTCTAAACTCCTCAACTCAGAGGTGTATTTCACATTTAATGATGCCCCTTGTGCGTTATTGCACCACAAACCACACAAATAAGAAACGCCTCATAAACGCTTTGTTTCCTCTGCTTCCAGGCCGTCTGTGGTGGAGGATGACCTCAGGAGGCTTTTCGCCAGCTCAGGAGCCACAGTCAAGGCCTTCAAATTCTTTCAGTAAGTCTCAGTCCGGTTTTGGTTTCCCTATATTGTTTGTTGAATTCCTGTCCGTCATCATAAAACCTCCCTGCCTCTTTTTTTAAGAAGAGGTTTTTATTGTCGACGCTGATCTTTCTCTCCCTGACTCAGCCTTCAAGTACAGATTGCGAACAGCTCTCCCAAACTAGGTTGGCATTTTGATTCTCTGAAAACACATCCTGTCCTTCCTTCTCCAACAGGAAAGACCGCAAGATGGCCCTGATCCAGATGGGCTCAGTCGAAGAGGCCATCGAGTCTCTCATCGAGTTCCACAACCACGATCTGGGGGAGAACCACCACCTTCGAGTGTCCTTCTCCAAGTCCACCATCTGAGTGCCTTCCCTCCCTCCCCTCCCTCCAAGCCTGATTCCACCTGAACGCTGCTTTTCTCAAGGTTGCCTTTAGTGGGAACAGCACCATTACATATTTATGGCTGTGGTTCTCTGTGGAACATTGCCCCCCCACGGCTCCCACTCTTAGTTAAACCCTACCATTCATGGCTTTTCGTTGTAAATCATTTCGACTTTGTGGTCCTGGTTTTGACGTGTAGTTCTATGATTTTTTTGTGGTTATAAAAATATATATTCAAACAAAATAGTGTCTATTTTCAAACCAAATTTAGGAGCTATCCTCTCTCATCTCTGGAGTAGTTACAGGGGAAGCCTGGCTGCTCCTGCCTGTAACTATCAAGAGTTTTCACATAACGTAGAGGTCTAACCTAAGCTGAGGAATCAGGAAGAGGCTTGTTTCTGATCGAATCTCTAAAAGCTGGAGTCGTCTCAGTGAAGTACTCATTATTATTATCATTATTATTAGATTTATGAAATAATCTGAGTGGGGGTCCTGGGATCAGGCAACGCTCCGCAGTGAACCGTGTTTTTATTTTCTTGGGAGGGTGAGCACGGGCAGCCAGTGAACTGTCACTTTAGACCAAATTTGCTTAAAAAGAGACACCCCGCACCGTGGATGTATGCTTCTATGGGTGAATCACATCCATACCAGACACACTTCAGCATTCCTTGTACTATGGTAGTCGTGTGGATATATCTGTGTGTGCCTTTCTTATTTTTATTTTATTTTTTTCAATGCCACTTTGAACCTGTTTGGCCAGTCAGAAACGGTTTGACACGAAAAGGATTTAGTTTTGGCTCACAGCGGTTTAGGTTTTATTTCTCTTCGCAACACCTTCCTGTTTGCTTCGGGGGATCCATACCACTATCTGAAGTTACTCAAAAAGGACGCAGTTTTACTTTCAATGCCTTTTATCGACAGTCTTGTGCCTTACTTTGCCCCAAAGCATCGTTGCCTAAAGCATCGCTCTGGCTTCTTTTGGACGGGACGTGGCTCCTGAAACGCCTTTGTTTTTTCACGCCTTTCGGTGTGTACCAGCATTGTAAGAACACAGGAAGTGGCTCATTTAATCTTCAGTTGTTTTCTTAAAAAAAGACAAATGTTTATCTTTAGGTTCGTATGCATATATCCCCATTTAATGTATGTAGAAACTATGAATGTAAGTCAGTTAGAAGCCTAATATTTTACTAGGTGGCGTAGCTCTGTTAGATGTTTTGCGGCATGAGTCGAGCTGGATCCAGCCCTCCTGTCTTTCAGCCCCTCTCACCTTCACGTAGCCTTGCCTCGGTCAGGATGAAGGTGTTTTGGGGGCCTCATTTAATCATATTATGTTCATCTATATGTGGACACATATATATTCATTTATCTTTTCTTTCGATGTTAGCGTTTATATGTGTATCACCTCTAAACTTAACTGATCCGTGTATGTCGTGGCTGGGTTTGTTCATCATCACAGTGCCTTGACTCCTCTCTGGCCTTGTCCGTTGACCTCGTTTACCTCTCGTTCAGGTGTGTTATCGCACCTGTCTGCAAAGATGCCTTGATTCCATTGAAATTCAGGTAATCGTACCTGTGAGAGGGCAGCTCGGAGGCATTTGTCAACAGAAAGTACCAACAGGCTTGGACTGTATCTAAAAAAGAAAACCCAGCTCATGTTCTTCTTCTCTTAAGTTCAAGACTAAAGGATTTCCCCAGGTGAGAAAAGCCCTCACCTTCCCTGTCTGTGCCCACTTACAACGCAGTCAGGTTCTAGTGCACTTTTCCTCAATCGATCGGTCCAAGTTGGCGCCATCACGCTGAAGTCTTAAACGTCGTCACATTCCTGCGTGCCTCATGCACCAGTTTCCACGATCTCGACCACTGTAGTTTTGGACCAGATACAGACGCGCTCTGTCTCTATTTTTGTAAAAGATGAATATGCATGTTGTAACGAAGCTTCATGTAGCTACTGACGGTTAATGCTGTTAAGGACCAAAGTATCTTCTACCCCCCTGCTGTTTTGTAGTGTTGTGAGTTTGTTGTCACATTACTGGGATCCCACATTTACACAAGGCTTCACTTTCCTGTTTTTCTTTCCCCCCGTCTCCCAAAAGCCTTGGACAAGAGTCACATGAAGTTGAACCTTTACTGTATATTGTATCCTGTTTTTGTTTGACTTTACAAAGAGCCTACTTTGGTAAAGATCGCCTTAGAAAGGATACTTAACTGAACCACAGTCCTAGCTGTGACCACGACTGTGTAGATTATCTACCTTTCCATTTTGTTAAAAGCTTTTATTTTCTCTCCTTTTTTTTTTTTTATATATATCAGGGGGCGGGGTGGGGTTATTGTATGAAGCGGGGTTGATGGTTGTACATATTCATGTTTTTGTACCACAAAATGATTTGGATTATATCCACTTTACGTTCAAAACATGTATATTTTGATAAAACATTACAGACCTATTGAGCTCCCTGGAGCTGTAAAAACAAAAAAAGCCTTTTGTAACACAAAGACATTAAACCTATCTGAACACACCGGTGTCTCTGTATGTGCCCCACTCCCCCCTTTGCCATCTTGTTCTTGTCTCTTTACTTCTGCTGCCTTCAATAAATCTTTAGTTTGTTCCTTCTTTCATCTGGCCTCATTTGGTTTCTGTTTCTTTCCCTCTGCTGTGGAACTGCTGCTCTGTGCCAGTTAACACCTTGTAACATTTTCCACTTTCCCCCCATCCTGTTTACTACTGGTGGTTTTTTTAAATCTTTCGCTGTACTTCCCACTTTTGTACTCATCCCATCTGAAAACTTGACTGCTCATCTGAGCTCGGCTCCATTCCTGGATGAAACGGCTGCCGTGACGATAGCGAGGTTGAGAGTTAATTTCATACGCAGCGGCCGGATACTTGCTGTTCTCAATGATTCTGAATAATCCTCCATTCTCCTGTGATCTGCTTTGACCTTTCCGGTTTAGCAGGTCTGTCTTAGGAGAGGAGCCTGGTTGCTGTGGAAACCGAGTGGCTGCATTGCATATGATGAATAATAAAGATAAAACACAGGCATGTCTACAGGGGCTGAACTGGCATCCTTCTTCAGGGAGAAACAAACCACAATGACACACTCGCTGTACGCCTCTTGAACCACTAGGGGGAGGTCTTGCTCTCTGCTGGCAATCAAAGACTGTTGAACAGAGGTGACTTTACCTGCCACTCACACAATGTCAATAGTTAGTGGCTTAATCTCAAGTGCCTCCTTGGGCTTTCTGGCATTATACCTTTTTTTCCCCCTTCTTTCTTCGACTTCCTTACAGAGCTGCAGAGAGGATTAACCTCAGATCTTCTTTGCCTTTTCAGAGAGGGACAACTGACAGAAAAGGAGAATGAGTCTTCTGCTGTCTGCATTTGTAGCTGAGTAGAGCTGGATTTTGTCGTATAAACCCAGCAGTTTTTGGAGTGGGGTCTTGAATGTAGCGTGCTCCAACTCTGTGTGAATTCCACACTTGTTTCTCTTCTGTTTCCTGGCATGAAAATGCCTGCTTGAAGGTCGTGGATATGACAGATACCTGCGTCCTACTTGCTGGATAACAGCATGCTGCAGGTTTGCAAAAGCAGACGCTCCATTTGAATGCTTCCCTTCAGGTTCTAGGCACAGCCACCTTTGAACGATATCTTCAGGCATCCCTTTTTAAACATCTTCAGTGTATCTCTACAAGTCAGGGAAACTCGACGGCAGCATCTCGAGGCTTTGATGCTGCTTTGATACCTCAGACTCTTGTTTACTTGCAGCTTCTTTAGTATCTTCACTCTGCACCAAGAGTAATTTAGAGCAGGGAGCAGTCTACACAGAACCCTCTGTGGGATACACTGAAATGCAAAGAGATTGCATAATTGGCTGGAAGGATAACTCAAAGAAAAGCGATCCAAACATAGATTTGTGATGTTTTTAGGTTATTAAATGTTAGAAGTCAATGGCACACAAAGCAATAATCTCTACTCTGAGACATTTCTAAAGGAGAAAACTAGCCAGCGCTGGTCCAGCAGTGAGCGCAGACGTTTATTTTCCCTCATGAAAAAGTTATCCGACACCAAAGAAAGGAGCCGACCTGTTTACAATTAGCTTTACAGAAACATCCAAAATGTCGCTCAATTGTTCGTTAACTGTTTCAGCATGTCATGCATGTCACCGTACTCCATCTCCTCTGCATTTGTTTGCTGAATCCAGACCCTCGGGATGGTCTTGGCTTCATCTGCTGCTCCGTGGAAGGGGTCTGAGTGAAACCATGTGGGGTTGTGATCCCCGCACATCTGGTACCGTTTATTTACATTAGCGCTGCGGCCTCTAATCAAGTAAATACTTGCAAACTCCAAGGCCACACACACAAACGCAAACCCGGAGGTCAGATAGTTCAAAAGAGTATCTTGTGTTTACTTTGTGACATGTTCAGTCATCATACGAGCCGGAGAAAATTGATGTCTGATGTCAGGCACGTGAAATGTGACTTGATGTAAAAGGCAGCTTGAGTGTGCTCGGAAACTATCTTGAGGGAACACATCATCTTGAACACACAAGTTGCTGCCTTGTGGGTAAAAGTAACGTATCTTATTGGAACAAGTAAATTCTGTGCAAATCATAAGCTTGTGGAAAAAAATCGTCATGTGCACACAAGATAACATGTTCCAACAAGATAATTATAATGTGTGCATTCAGTAATCTTGTGAAGTACAGGATATTTTTTGTTTGCATTAAAATGAGTATAAGTTAACTACCTTGTGCACTCAAGATGCTATTTTAGGGATGTTATCTTGTTAGCACGAAATAATTACCTTGTAATTATATAATCAGTTCATTAGAGAACCAATATCGAATTAACCTTCGGGGATCAATAAAGTTCCTCTTCTGATCAGTTTCCTTTGCAAGATACCTGGATTGTGCACACAAGATAACGTATCCTCGCAAGGTAATTGCATCATTATAATCTTTAGTGTATAGTTTAATCTTACAAGAAAAGGTGTCGTATATGATCTTGAGAATGTTTCTGTATCTTGGGCCCGAAATTGTTCTTATGAGGACAAGTTACTTGTCTTGTGTGCGCAAGATAACATGTAAGTCTAAGGTAACAGCATAATGGACACAAGATTTCCATCTTTCCACGAGATAATATTTTGTGTACAGAATAAAAGTATCTTGTGTTAAACTTGTATTCTGCTGTCTACATCATGTAAACAAATCACCAGAAAAAGTCATTTATCTTGCGCACACAAGTTAATGGAACAAGATACTGACCTTCTTTTCAGTGTGTTTACTTATAGAAAAAATATCCAACCTAATTAGAACAAGATATCGTGTCCCTGCTTTGTTTTTTAATAATGCTTACTAGATAATCATCTTTCCACAAGATAATGGAAGATGTGCAGGATATATTCATCTTGCAGGAATACATGATCTTGTGTGCACAGTTTGATTTTGTAAGATCAAGACATTTTTGGATAGTAAGTTTTTTTTATGAAAGCAGGATTTTGTTTTTGTGTGCACCATATATTTTGTTGGGACACGTTATAGCGTTAGTATCTTGTGCAAACAACAGAAATGCTCTTTTTGGGCTCTGTAGCATTGTTAATCAGCTGCTCAAAGATACGTATTCATTTGTTGTTTCTCAAGATCTAGCGCTGTGAGATAATTCATACATCTATAATTTATGTCTCTCATGAGCAGAGTTAAAGTGCTGAGCAATGTCCGACATACCCAGCTCTTAAGTACCCGATTGAACACCCTCTTAAGGCGGCCTGTGTCCATACACTTACTCTCTCTGCTGCAGCCGCTTAGATTTAGGATTCCTGATGACGCCTTCATATCAGAGCACACCCTGCTGTGTTCAGTCTGCACGGCGTTCATGAGATTTTAGACTCACTTTCAGACTGACACATCACTCGAGGAGAAGCTTGAAGCCTCTTTGGTCTACAGTGACTCCTCTTCTTTTTTCTTTTTTCCTTAAGTCACCCGGAGACTATCCACCTGTTTACATATGCACGCCTCAGACAGATGTTGAATAATTCATGCACAAAGGCGGACAACATGCAGCTGTATTTGGGTTATGGGGGTGCATGGGTTCTCTCCCTCCCTGCCTGAATTCACGCAGCCCAAATTATAGGCATTACTTTGCAGGCAGAGCAGGGCAAAGCAAAAAACTAGGACACTTTGCATAGAGGATCCAACTGAGAGGCACAATAAGAAGTGAAAGATGGCGCAGCAGAAATGATCAGTTTGAAATGATAACAGGGGGCCTGTTAGGGTTGGAACAAGTGAGTCAGGATGATCCAGGAAAGCTGATGTGTAAAGTGGAACATTGTGCTCTGCAGGAAAACCGTGTATGTCTATGGATTGTGTTCCTGCTGACAGTAGTCATAGCCTTAACATGAATGCAAAGGTAGGGTGGCCGAGAACCGCCACTGCTGCGAATAAAAAAAGAATACAAAATAAAAAGTCACAACAGAAGTTACCGATGCAAAAAAAAAAAGGAAAAAGAAATTGAAGCCCACTGTGAATAAAAAAAGAATCAGTGCAGATTAAAAAAAAAGCCACAACAGAAGTTAACGATGCAAAAAAAAGTGGCGACAGTAAAATAGTTACTAACTGCGGAAATAAAAGGATGCAAATTTAAAAAAAAAAAGCCACAACAGAAGTGAGCTGCTGGGGACCAATAATGATGACGCACTGGTGTTTTACGATCAAGGCACAGACGATGACGGCGAGAAGACGAGCAAGAAAGTAAGTGGAAAGGTTATTGTTTAATTTTCCTTTGCACGCTTTTCAATGTGGTTAGACCATGTAGCATCTGAGTTGATATGACGTTGAACCGAAGCTAACACGACGCCGGCATCCTCCAGATCAACTTCATATGGACTCAGGCGCTACATGACCGAACCAAATGACACATTAAAAAGTACACACAGCAAAAACACTATTAAAAAAAACGGTGCATCGCCACTGGTCCCCAGCAGCTCACTTCCATTGCGGCTTTTTTTTTTTTTCATTTGGATCCTTTTATTTATGCAGTAAGTAACATTTTTCTTTTTTTCTTTTCTTTTTTTTTTTGCATCTGCACTTTTTTGTGTTGTAATTACCATTTTGGCTTTTTTTTTTATCTGCACAGTTTCTTTTTTTTATTTTTATTTGCAGCAAAATTAAACAACAACCTTTCCACTAACTTCTTTGCTCGTCTTCTCATCGTCGTCTTCTGTGCCTAGATCTTAAAACACTGGTACATCGTCATTATTGGTTCCTGGCAGCTCTCTTCCATTGTGGCTTTTTTTTATGTCCCTCTTTTCATTTTCGCAGTAAGTAACTTTTTTCTTGTTTTTTTCTTCTTTTGCATCGGTAACTTCCGTTGCGACCTCCTTGTTTTTTTATCCTTTTTTTATTTGCATCCTTTTATTTTCGCAGTAAGTAACTTTTTTTCCTGCATCAGCACTTTGATTTTGCGTCGTTCATTTCCGTTGTGGCTCTTTTTTTAAAAATTTTATCTGCACCGTTCCTTTTTTTAATTTGCAGCGGTAGCTTCCGGTGCAACCTCTTTTCTTTTTCTTCCTTTTTTTTTTTTTTTTTGGATTCGTTTTTTTATTTGCAGCAGTGGCAGTTCTCGACCACCGTACAAATGAGCTTGACCTTAATATCCTTGAATCAATTCCCATCTTGTTGTGAGTGGATTGTCTCCCACCGGAGCTGAAGTTAATGACATGTTTAAGAGGCAATGAAGGAACAACAGAGCTGCAATATCTGTTTTCAGGGTGGACACCACAGAGGGGGAAGATGGATCTGTTTTTGCACAAGAGTCTGCAGACTCACACGCTCTCAGGACAGAGTTAGCAGGGGTGGCAGCGCTCTGTCAGACTGAGCTACCCAGAGGTTTATGGCTCACAGGTTTTAGACTCGGTGCTGCCTACGCGTGCCCTTTGGGCCTAATGGACACTGATGGAAAATGACTCCACTGTTCCAGCGATCCATCAGACGCCCTCTCCCCCCGCTCTCCGAGGCCATCCATCAGGGCCGCGGCTTTCATACAAGCTCGTGAACTTTATTGGTGCTTATAGGTCCAGATGCGATCCTCATAAAGCGCCTTTAGTTATACAGATGCTTGAGGCCAACAGACGGCCTGATTTTTCTGTTTTCTCCGTGGAAACGCGCGATAAATCATCTTAATTACTCATTTTACGCGTGATTTTTGGTCATACCCACCGAGGTGTTTACTTTCTAGATTGGTATAGGTATGTCTTTGAGTTGAGGCTTCACCGGGACGCAGTGACTCAGCCAGCCCCGCGTCCCCAGGGGCAGCGCGGCACGGCACGGCTGCAAACCCCGCCCGCGCTGAAAGTAAAGCGAGAAGAGCGAGAGAGAGAGAGAGGGAGGTAGACTGAGAGGAGGGGGCTGTGTAGTCTGGTGGTGGGGGGTTCTTTAGACTGAATCAGGGTGCCGGTGAGTATTGATGCCGCCTTATAGTCCAGGTGATCCCTGCGTCGGAAGCGTACTCGGATGAAATCTGCGCCGATTAGCGGCTCCCCCCGGCTGCGCTGACACCAACGTGACGCACGGAGAGCGAGGGGCGCACCGCGGCTGGAGTCACATTGGATTAGAGCCAGAGGCAGCGGAGGGAGCACCAAGTTGAGATGCTGTAAGAGAGAGACAGAGAGAGAGAGAGAGCTCGTGGTACACTGTGTGTGAGAAGGAGGATGCTCTCATTTCGCGCTTGTTTTTGTCTCCTAAGTTTGGACTGAAATCACCAGAAAGGAGCGCGCTGATCTATCCGGGATGTATTTCTTTGAACTGTAAGAAGAGGAGAGGTGAAGTGGAGCAAATTTGAAGCAGTGGAGAGATTTTTTGCGGTGCGAGAGGAGCGGAACAAAGCGTGCGCCAGGCTGAGCACCGATCTGGGTGAACAAATATGACGGACGATTTTGATGTTTTCTCGCGTCTGCTGATGTGCAACGAAATCAAGACCAGATTCGCAAACCTGGACTGATCCTGGATTGTATTTATCAGCATTTTTATATCACGAATATCTTGCACACAGAGAGGGGGTCTTATCTTTGTGGCGCATCTATCTCCCCCCCTTGCGCGTAATGGGAGAAAAGTTTCGGACCTTGCAGAGGAGTCGCACTTGCAGCATTCCGCCGACGGCTCGCTTCTGAAATAACATGTGAATCCCTCTCTGATCCTGCAGCGTCGGAAGGAGTTTGAAAGTAAATCTGAGTTATTCAGTATGACTTGAAACAGCCTCGGGGTGATCAGAGCTCGCATTAAACCAGTTAACGATCCATGAACCGCCGAGACGATTTGTCCAAAGACGCGCAGACGGACATTAATGATCTAGAGAGGATTTCTACAGCAGCAGCAACGAAGTGAAAAACTGAACACCAAGAGAAAGAGAGAGAGAGAGAGAGAGAGAGAGAAGAAAAATAAGAAGAAAGAGAGAAAGAGAGAGAGATTCCCTCCTGGATGTCTATGATGTTGTGCCAGCTCGGGCAGAGGTGTGTGATGGAGGTGGTGCTGCTGACCATCCTGTCCTGGGTGTCAGTGTGGGCGGAGGAGAAGATCATATTTGACAGACACGCTGTCTACTGGAACAGCTCCAACCCCAAGTGAGTTTTGCGCCGATTACGGCCTGTTAGTGTACGTGTACGTGTGTGTGTGTGTTTGACCACTGTTTATCTGCCTACCTGAGCAGTTTTCCTCTCACAATAACAATAAACACTGGCAGCATGGAGGCTGAGCCATGGAGGACGACACATAGGCAGAATTTTTGAAGTCTGCTGCAACACACATCAATCTTTTTACCCATTTTTACCCCCTTCTTGATTCAGATATGCACAGTATTTAAAATGATTTTTAAAAAGCAGCATGCACACACAGACACAGACACATATAGACCCGAGTGGAGGTGTGTGTGTGCATGTGCAAACAAGCTGGATATTGAGTTCTGTGGCACAGGGAGCTCCTTTTGTCTCAGACAATGAGGGCATCCTGCCTCCTCTTCTCATCAGCGTCTAGAGATTTTCTCCCTCTCTCTCTCTCACTTGCCCTCTCTTTCTCTCTCTCTCTCGCCCTCTCTCTCACTCACACACACACACACACACACACACACACACACACACACACACACACACACACACACCCAAAGCCATTACCTTTCCTCCTGGCTAATTTCAGCCCCTCATGCCAGGAAACACAAGAGTGCATTATTACTCTGTCAATTACAAGCAATTGTGCAAAAAGCAGATCCATAAATAAACAAACAAAGGCAGGCATAAACACACACACACGTGCACACTCACACTTGCACACTTGTCTTTAGCCGGGCCTCTCTCATTGACATGGGGCAGAGCACACTGGGCCCGTCTGTCTAATGGTTTGTGACAACCTGGCCAGCTCCTCTCTCTCTTCTTCTCCCCCTCTTCTTTCTCCTCCCCTCTCCTCTCTCTCTCTCTCTCTCTCTCTCTCTCTCCCAGGTAGATAAATAAACATTGAAAGTGCTCCCTCTCGCTCGCTCATGGCTGAATTAGTCCAAACTAAAGTCCCTGTCTCTCTCTCTGCATCTCCCAAACACACACTCGGAGCGAACAGGCCTGTCTCTGACTGCATCACTTTTCCACAGAAGGCTTCTCAAATATTTAACAGGCAGGGGGGAACATTTTCTCCCTTTCTCGCTGTCTCCCTCTCTCTTTCTGTCTTTCTTCTCGTCTCTCTGTGCTCCTTCCCTCCCACCACACACACACACACACACACACACACACACACACACAAACACAAACACCTACACATTTGCCAACGTCAGAGGATAAATTTAAGCTATACAGACGGATGCTGGGGGCGCTGTTATTCCGTCAGGGTCGCATCGAGAACTTGAAGCAGAAAGGGGGCACATCAAAAATGCATTGCTGCTAAAGCAATGAATCTAGGCTCTGGAGCCCGAGCGAGGTTGGTTCCCCCTGTTAGACCCTGGCACTGTCATTGCTCACGCTGTGCCTTTTTTCTCAACACACACACACACACACACATAACCCCATCCTGCTGCACTAGTGGGGACCTGTCACTGACAACATTCACTCTTCAGCTTTAATCTAAAGCTAATTCTATTCCCAAACTTCGAGGATTAGGGTGAGTTTTTCAGAGAATCCAGCCTACTGGATAAAAGAAAGACGCAAATAGACACCGAAATTAACCGGCCCATGTAAAATGAATGGGCCTGATTCTGGTTGTGCTGCCTCGGAGGGTTTTATTTACCATGTTTCGGCTGTAATAATAGTAAGATTGTATTCACCAAGTGGCTTGCTGTGATCTGTGAACGCTGTGAAATTGCTAAAAGAAGTCCAGCAGGGCTGAAAATACGAGCAGTCAGAAGATCAGAGTGGTGAGCAAACTTACAAGGAGGAGGAAATGACGGTGACGGTGAAGTGGCGACAGATTGAAGTTTTGAAAGAATTAGTTTGGAGTGTCTGTGCGGCAGCAAGTGACAGAACTTTAGAATTTTACCAAAGTGGACCGGTTCGATCAAAGAAATAGAAAAGTAATGATTTCAGAGTCTTTCACATGATTCACAGACTTCTATGAAAACAGCTTTCACAGGGAGGATGGAGCTGTTTGATCCATAAAGGAAGACTTTAGAGGCATTGAATGCTAATGTTGGTAACTTTTTACTCCCAGGTTTTCGTGCGAGTACATCTGTTAAAGTCATACTCAGCGTTTTGTGGTGAGCTGTGTAAGCTGGTTGTGTTCATTCACAGGCTGTGTGTGTGTACTCAGGCTGCTGTTAGCTAGGTTAAAGTGACGTTAGCGCAGCAAACATCTTTGTGACGGGCAAAACCCACAGGATCCGGAATGGCTCTGCTCCGGCACGGCAGGCAGACCAAGCATTATAATCAATGTGACTGATTCCACAGAATCTGTCCACCGTCCGGCTCTGCGGCAGGTCAGCTCCGGCAGCTGGATCAGATACGCAAGGCTTCTATTTCTGCGGACACCGCTTCTCCTCCGATGGCGGCGGATCGGATCCGGTGGGCGCTATATGCTTGCGTATTTGATCCGCCTGCCGGTCCGGAGCAGAGCTGTTCTGGATCCAGTGGAATTCCTGATTTAAGGTGACCAGATGTCCCCAATTTCCAGGGACAGTCCCCATTTTGGATGAACTGTTCCCGGCTAAACCTGTCCCTGAAAATATCCCCGATTTAAGGGTTCCATTATTGAGAAGAAAAAGTTGCCTGTAGACTAGAACAACGGTTCTTACGGTAGCCAAGTAGGATGGAAGCGCAAGTAAGCATGTTGTGCACAGTCCTGAACAACAGTTTTTATGTGGGGCTTTATCAGCATTATCTTTTGTTCAAAAGAGTTTGTCTGAATTTGTCACGGTGTTCAAGAAATAAAGTTCAGTGTAGACAAAGTTATTCCTTCAAAAAAGTTGGACTAGCATTCAGTGGAAATCCTTACATATGAATTAGTTCTTGCGTGAAGCTCTTTCCAAACACAACTTCCCACGGTGTCAAAGTGTATATTGTGAAAATCCATCACGGTTTGCCGAGTACTTCTGCACGTACACAAACTTCACCCCGCAGGCGGAGGACTGTTTACAACATGTAGCTTTCGGTTTTATGCTCAAAGGAAGTGGTTCAAATGAATGCCGCTGGGTTGTGCGCAACCAATTTTACCATTTGATCAGACCGTCTGCGTATCCGACTTCAATGCTGCCTCGTCCCCAGATCTCCAAAAGTGCTGTGCTGAAAAAGAATCGGAACAAAATCTGATGAGAAACTGAAAATGTAAACATAGATGAATCTATGAAATAGAGAAGAGACAATGTAGATGCTAATTGTGTTGTGGCGTGTGTGGTCTGACCCCCAAACATAACACTGAGACCACAGTGTGAACTCTGAGCTGTGCTTGATATCTTTTATACCAGAGGAGAAATTTTTGAGGCAACAAAATGACACAAACAGCTGCTAAAATGAACAGCTGTGTGTCTTAATTGATCACACAACATCAAGCACACAGCTTGTATAGAGCTATCAGGATGTGTTGTCTCCTTTCGTGCTCATCAAAAGTTTTGCACGAATCAAACGACTTCAGAAGGACTTTCTCTGCAAGGTCACCAGCGCTGACTTTGTAGAATTTGTTGGATTGATAATCAGTCACTGTTTTGTACTTGCAGCCAGAAACTTTCTTTCTTTGTTTTCAAAGACGGGGGGCTGTGGGAAACTGTGAGGAGTGACGAATAAAAGAATATGTGAGAACAATCCTGAAGTAGGACCAAAAATAAGAGCGGCTACCTCAGCGTATTGCAGCTTTGTTCCTAAACTCCCTCTTTACGTGGAGCCACCTCAGTGTGTTCGCCAGAGACACAAGGATGAATGCAATCACCTGATAATTTAATACACCAGTTTTAAACCTGTTGTGCACAAATATCTCAACAACAGCGATTTCTCACTCTCACCACTCTAACCAGTGTAGTTTCATCACGCTTTAGAAACAGACTGTACTCTACCTGACAAGGCCAACACTGCAGAGGGAAAGAAGTTATCGACTAACTGGCGAATGCAGTACAGCATTTGGCAGCTCGAGAGCCAGATATCCCCCACAGGAGCGGTGGAGAGTGAAAACAGGAGAGTGAATACTGGACGTTTGCCGATTGGCTGGAAACCCGATTCAAAATGAATGCCTCGCTGACAAAGACCACGCCATTTGTGCCGTACAAAAGGTATTTTATTCAGACAGGTGAGTGCATTCAGAAGGATTGGATGAAGGCGGCTGAAGGTTGGGTTGAGTTGAAACATGAAAACCTTCAATGGAAGACGCTCAGAGTAGAGGCTCATCCCCATATGCCTTCTCTTTTGGAGAAATGAAAATGGGACTAGGACTTAGTTTAACTGTTTGAGGTGACTACCTGATATGTAAAAAAAAAGGCCACTGCTTCCTGCGAGAAGAAGTGCTAACTATTGCTCAGAAGTTTTGGCTATTCAGGCTTCGAGCTCTAAAACTTATATTTAGAGACTTACAGAGCAGCAGCTCCTGAATGTGCCATAACTCAGAAAATCTATAGACCTTTAACCTAGAAGCTGCTCCAAACTGAACTTATATAGTTATTAAACTTCATCCACTATATCAACGTCTTGGTACCAA